TTCAAAATTAAAATTTTCTAAAATCTTAAATTGCAACCTTCTAAAGTTTATTAATTTATAAAAATTTTAAATGTAACTCTCATAAAATTCAATTTTTTTTGAAATATATTTAAGTAATATTATTTATTAAATAATTTATAAATAATAATGTTTATGATATATATATCTTCTATGAGAAGAAAGTCTTTTTTTTACAATTTTTTCTATTTTCTAAACTATAGGCAAAAAATAGGGAAGTAACGAAACAAAAATTTTCTTTTTTTCTTTTCATGGTTCGCCATACTTTGAAATTATAAAAAATAGTTTTTTTTCTTTTCATGCTTTGCTGTACTTTGCCCATTGTTCTTAAAAAAAGATTGAACGGTTTTCTGTTTATTTGAATTGATTTAATGAAAAATAATTTTTAATCCTTAAAATGATTTGTTTATGAATACCTTTCTTCAGTGCGTGTCACACATCAGTTTAACTAACAAAACTAACATCAACAATCAAAATTTATTAGTTCTTTATCAACCATTCTTTTTTCTCCATTCTCCCTACACACCATAAATCTAAATTCTCATTAGTCAATTTTACAATAAACAAAAGAGGGGGAAACAAGAAAAAAGAAAAAAAAAGGAAAAGCCATTCGTTATTACGTCTTGAATAATAAACGAGTCTTTTTCTCCGCAGACCTATAATAGACTCAATTATCTTTCATCATCCTTTATTCTCTATTTCCTCGTGAAATAAATATTCATCGTTGCACTGGAGTTTGCCCACGCGTCGATGCAAAAGCTAACATAACGGATCGACAAGTCGTGAAAAGCGGATGCGGAAGAGTGAAAAAGAGGGAATATTGTTGCAGAGTGATAGACGAGGTCGAGTCAGAGAGAAAGAAAGAAAGAAAGAAAGAGAGAGAGACAGAGAGAGAGAGACCAAGAAAAAAATAAATATGCTCCATTTAAATAAAAGGTGAAAAAAAAGGAAACAGTTTCCACTCGACGCGAAACTTTCCATTCCAAAAGGTGCCTGCTAAAGATCACTGCGCACGTTGAGAGCATACAACTGCGGAGAACTTAAATGTCGCAAAAAATCCTACCAGCGAATTACTAAATAATATTCATAAGTTTACAAACTGTAACGCAGACAAAATGCAATTGCAATGTTATCTGATTTTGACTGCAGAAAAAAGGAGGTGAAATTAAAAAAATGGATAAAAAAATAAAACAAGAGAAAATAAAAAAATGAAATAAAAAATGAAATAAAAAGAAGAAAATAAAAAATAAAATAAAAAGGAGAAAATAAGAAATAAAATAAAAAGAAGAAAATAAAAAATAAAATAAAAAGGAGAAAATAAGAAATAAAATAAAAAGGAGAAGATAACAAATAAAAAGGACTAAAAAGTAAAACAAAATTAAGAGGAAATAAAATAACAAAAAAAATTACTTCCTTTTGTTATTTTATTTTCTCTTGTTTTTGTTTTACTTTTGAATAAAAACAAAAAAATATCAAAATAAAACCAAAAAATAGAATAAAAACAAAAATTTTAACTTCGAATCAATTTTTATAATTTAGAATCTTAACTAAATTCCAAAATTTTCAAAAGACAAATTTTTTTCTATTATTATTTTCATTTCGACCCTAAAAGCAGACTTCGGACTTAAAAACAAAAAAAATAGTATCAAAAGTGGAATAAAATGTTCGTAATAGTTGCAAATAGTCGCACAGTATTTATTGAAAAATATCGAGTCTATTTTGTGTTTGACTAGAATATGTTATTTTATACCAAAAATACAATATAAATTATTCTCACAATTTTTTTTTTTATTATAAACAAGTTTTTGAGTGTTAAAATTGTGGTTAAATTTCTCCACTTGAGAACGCCAAGGTCGTCACCAGATGGCATCAAAAATTCCAAGAAGGAACTGAACTGCCATCTAGCGGTGACCTTGGCGTTCGCAGGTGGAGAATACCGTCTCCATATTGGATCTCAAGATTTTCCAAATTTTACAACTATTTGCAGACATTGAATCTAGAGAGTTTAACAATTAATATAAATGAATAAAAAAAAAAATAAAAATAAAATAAAAAGATCAAAAAATATAGTGTAAAAGAAAAACAAGAGGAAATGAAATAAAAAAAGGAATTATTTCCTTTTGTTATTTTATTTCCTCTTGTTTTTCTTTTACTTTCAAATAAAAACAAGAAAATATAAAAATAAAAACAAATTTCTCTTTTCCGAAAATTATTTTAGTCGCAATTTAATAAATTTTAAATAAATTGTTAACAATGTATTTGAAATTAAACACCTTTCAGCAAATATATCGATCTGAAGGAAAGCCCTCAGCTAATTGTATATGAATGAGAAAATCCAATTGAAACTAATCCACCTGGTTCTCGGAAGTGAAACAAGTTTCTGGAATTCAAACTTTATAATATATATATTGAAATGCAGACAGGGAAAAAGCAAGGTTAAAAAATGAACGCTCTAAATTTGCTTTGAAAATAAAACAAAATTATGTTTGAAAACATAATCTCGTTAGATTAGAAAAGAGATTAATGACTTCCTTCTGAATATTATGTATTAGTATTGTAAGAGTACAAAGCTAATATGTGTGTTGAATATATGGTTATAGTTTCAAGTGCGTTTTATTATTCAACACCGCACACTTTATATCCTTTATTCAAAGACACTTTTTCAATGTGTCATGACAAATTGCATTGTTTGCAATTTAGCATCAATCAAAAATTATGAAAATAATTTCAATATTTACTGGCAGGAATTATTGTTTTACAATTTATTTTAATTGTTGTTTTTCAATTATATAATAAACGATGCGTTTATGGGCAACACATTTATTTATTTATTTTTATTTTAAATTTATTTAAAATTGTTAATTTTAATTTGATTATGGTTCTAGAGTTCTTTCAAAATTCAATCCTATTTTTCTTGAAATAATAAAATTATTCAAAACTTCAATCATTTTATTTTATTCAATTCTAAATAAATTCTTATTAAAAAGTTCTATTGACAACTCAATTATTTAAATACAAAAATTAATAATTTATTGAATAATTGAATATTTCTTAAATTTCAATTCTTATAAAGAACTTTATCAACATTTTTTAAAATAATTGAATTATTAAATTTTGCAAAGAATTTTATTAAAATTCCTGCAAATAATTGAATTTGCAAAGAATTTTAATAAAATTCCTGAAAATAATTGAATTTTTGCGAAGAATTTTATTAATAAAATTTTTGAAAATAATTGAATTTTTGCGACGAATTTTATTACTTTTGAAAATAATTGAATTCTTGTTATGAATTTTGATTTTTTTCAATTTTTTTTTTAAATTTTAGCCAAAATTTCAATCCTACCTTTAGAAATAATTAAACTCTTCTCCGAAATTCAATTATTTTCAAAAATTTTAATGAAATTTTTGGCAAAATTCAATTATTTGCAGGAATTTTAATAAAATTCTTTGCAAAATTTAATTATTTTCATGAACAACTAACATTTATAACACAGATTCAATTATTTTCAAAAGTAATAAAATTGTTGGCAAAATTTCAATTATTTTCAAAAATTTGAAATTCCAAAAAATTCAATTATTTTTAGGAATTTGAATAAAATTCTTTACAAAATTCAATTCTATCCACAAATAACCAAATGTCATCAGAAGAATTCAATTATTTTTAAATGTATTAGAAAAAATTTCTGAAAAAATAATTGAATTTCCAGAAAGAATTTCATTATTTAAAAAAAAAAATAATTGAATTCTGTTAAAAATAATTGAACTTCTGAAAAGAATGTTATTATTTATAAAAGTAATTGAATTCTTGAGACAAATTTTAATAAAATTATTTAAATAATTGATTTTTCTTGAAAAATTTTATGAAATTTGTATTTCCTCCTTTTTAAACAATTTTTGAAAATAATAAAATTTCTGCAGAATTTTATTACTTTCGAAAAAAAATTGAATTGCCAAAAAGAAATTTATTATTTCCGAAAATAATTGAATTATTGCGAAGAAATTTTTTAAAAATTTGTAAATAATTGAATTCCAGTGAAATTTTTATTATTTGTGAAAATAATTAATTATGTTTGTGTAGAATTTTCTAAAATTTGTTTTTTTAAATAATCGGTTTCTTTTGGTAATTTTTAGTAAAATTGTAGATATTGCAATTAAAAATGAATTTCAATTATTTCTAAAAATTCATGCCATAATATTTTTAATATTCAATTATTATCTAAAGTTTTAACTGAAATTCATTTTTAAATTATTAACAAAAATAATTAATTTTTTTGAAGAATTGAATGTTTCTTAAAATTCAATTTTATCAACAAATTTTTAAATAATTAAATTCTTTCGACGAATATTTTAATAACAATTTTAAGAATAATTTTGCATGTTTCGAAAAATAAAATTGAAATTTGGCATTGAGTTTTATTATTTATGAAAAATAATTGAATTCTTAGGAAGAATTTTACGAAAATCTATTTAAATAATTGATTTTTGTCGAAAAATATTAGAAAAATTCTGTTTTAACTTTTAAATAATTGAATTCGGGTAAAATTTTTTTTATTTATGAAAATAATTGAATGTATGCGAAGAATTTTATAAACATTTTTTTTAAATTATTCAATTCTTTTGGGAAGTTTTTTTTACTAAAATAGACAACGGTTGCTATGGCAACAATTTCCTTAGCAACGGTTGTTATGGTAACGGTTGCGGTAGCCTTGGTTGCTAGGGCAACGTTTTCGTTAGCAACGGTTGCTATGGTAACGATCTCGTTAGCAATGGTTGCTATGGTAACAATTTTCTTAAAACGGTTGCTATGGCAACAATTTTCTTAGCAACGGTTGCTAGGGCAACGATTTCGTTAGCAACGGTTGCTATTCGTTAGGATCAGTCGTTATGGTAACGATTACGATATTTTCATTAAATATGCATTTTATTGAATGAATAGAATAAAGAAAAAAAAATACAAGAGAATATAAATATTTGAAAATCACCATTTCTCTCCTGAGGATGGCCAATTGAGTGTCAAGGGTGGTTAGTTGCCTCGCAGGTGGCGAGGGTCTTGAGCTGGATTGTGTTACATTTGTCGGTGTTTTTGCGCTTCTTTGAGTCTTACTCGAGGATCTTGTCGGAGGTGGAGGTGGTTCACCTGTTTCTCCCCTTCCACTATTGAGATTGAATCCACTGAGACTACGTGGTAGAGGCGGTAATCCTTGCAAGGAAGACATCGCTATCCTCTCGAGTATACTGCAACAGAAATATATCGAGAAGGTTGCATTTCAGCTGATACCGTTATAATACACATTGATTCATTTTTCCCTCATCATGATTCATCATTCAGAATTGTATCATATTTTGCAAGAATTTTTTTTTTTATTTCGTAAAACTCTTCTATCAGTAAAAAATTTTATTTAAACCAAATTCATTTTTTTTTTTTTTTTTTGAGTGAAATATATACTCAGAGCCAAACTACAATGTTAAGTTAAAAGTATCAAATTGCAACGAATTGATACCAAAAAAGTGTATCAAATCATAAAGTCTCAATTTTCGGTGTATCATTTTAATCCCATTCGGTATTAATTTGATATACTCTTAAGAAAAATGGTTAGGTTATATGTTTGTTTTAAAGAAAAATTTTATTCGACATTAATAAAATATATACTTGAGCCAAATAAAATTTTAATTAAACTAAATAAACTTTATTTAAACCAAATAAAATTTATTTGAACGGAATAAAAATTTATTCAAATGAAATAAATTTTATTTGATGAAAATAAAATTTATTTAAACCAAACAAAATTTAGATAAACCAAATAAAATATTTATTTAAACCAAATAAAATTTATTTGAAACAAATAAAAAGTCTAGTTGGCTCTGAGTCAAATATTTCTATTCTCTGTTTGTAGTTTTATACCTTTAATTAAATCCGAAGACACTTTATTCAAAAATGAAATACGTAACAAATAATATAAAAAATAAATATAAAAATATGCATTTGATAAGGATTGCCGACGAAGTGCAATGTTCCGGCTTCCAAGAATCAAGACAGATTTATTATGATAATTGTATTATAATTAATGAGCGTATACTTATTATGCCGACATTGTCCCACTTTTCAGTAACGCCAATGAAATTTTGTTAAACCCTATAATTATTACTGGAATGTAATAATAATTATAAATTTACTATATTAATATGCATGAACAAATATAATTAACATAATTATTAATTAATATGTAATATAATAGTCATTCGGATTTTTTTCTTTTTTTCATAATTAGTAAATTAGAACTGCGATTTTTTTTTAAATGAGCAACAAATTTTTTATTTATTACAGAAATTAATTAAAATTCATTTTATGAAATGACAAATTTTTTTATTTATTACAGAAATTAATTGGAAATTCATTCAAAATTAAGTTTTATTTCTCTGAAAACTGGAAATAATTTTCAAAACATAGAAAAACAGTTTTAATAAATATCAAATTATTTGTAAAGATTAGAAAACAATTTTGGCAATGATATAAATTAGTAAACAATTTACAAAAATTGGAAAATTATTATTAGAAAGTAGAGAATCATTTTAGAAAATTAAAAAATATTTTATAACTATATGTTAATAATTATTTTTTTCATACTATTTTTAAAATGTACGTATAGAATGAAATTAAATCATTTTTTTCCAAGCTGAAAATTTTCGCCTTGAACTAAACGCACTTTAATGAGAGGAAAATATACTCATGAGTCATGAATATTGAGACAATTCACGTTAATAGTTTCTAAATTATAACTACTTAGATTTTGAAATCATTATTCTACAGTAGTATAAATTTTCATTTTATAAAGAAAAACAATTATTCATCTTTTGGATCTTATAGGATAAAATAAATGTATTTCTAATCTATTTTTTAATTTTGAGTTTTGATTAATATTTTTTTATTTTATTTTACTTTTTTTTTTTTTTTTGATTTATTAAAATTTTGTTTTAGGTGTTTTAAAAGAATATTATTGAATATTAAAATATAAAAAAATGGTTGCTTAAATAATTATGAGTCTTGCTTTACCTCGAGTCTTATGTAAGATGTAATCAGTTATGTGCAAGAAAATACTCAAAAAAAAAAAGAAAAAAAATTGAAATAAGTATAGAGCTCACTCGTGACTAATAAATGAGTATATTTTCCTTTATAGATCCTTACGATAGCAAAGATTTTAAAATAGTTTGTGTTTATCATTTTTAAATGCATGGTTGAATTTTATACCTTCTTGTTTCAGTCCGAAAATATTCAACTAGCAATTCCACTTTTTATATTAATTTTTCTCTCTTAGAAACTAGATTCTGTTCAACTTTACAAACACAAAAATATTTTACAAATTATTAATTTTTAATAATAATTAATAATAGTATTACTATAATAATACTAATAATGACTAAATATTAGTAAATAATTATTATTATATAGTTAACTAAAAGTTAATTACTTAAAAGTTCTTTACATATAATTTTTAATTGAATACTATATTATTAATAACACAGAAAAAATAAAATCTAAAACAGTTCTCAGTAAAATTCAGTAAAAATTGATTCGAAGTATTTTTCTTACAAACGATTTTAGTCAAAGTTGACTGAAAGTAAGATTTATTTTTTAGATTGAATAATACTAAAAATTAATTACTGAAATAATTATAGATACTAAAATAATTCTTTACTAATTACTATTAGTTATTATTTTTATTACTATTATTATTATATTAGTTATTGATTTTATGTAAAAAAAATGTACTAATATTACATTATTAATTATTAACATTAAAAAATTTGTATATTATAAATTAATGATTAATATACATGTGAAACAAAACAAAATAAATGCAATAAAAAAACCTTAACAAAAAGAGAAATCATTTAATGAATAACAAAATAAACATATTGTTATAAGGTAATTATTTCAAGGTAAGTCATTTTTTTCCTATGAAAATCCTTGAAAGTATAATTAGAATTTAATGTAAACGTGAATTAAAAATTATTTTCGAGGCTTAACCTTATGACCAAAATTAGGAATACAAAATATATGGATGAAAACATAATTATGTAATATAATTAATGTTAGTTTTCCCTGTGGGATTAAAAGTAATTGAAATAAATAAAAGAATAATACAATACTTTATGTTAATATATTATCATAAGTCAGTTTTATTATTATAATTATTATAACAACAATGATTATGATAATAATATTTTATTATATTACTATTAATCTTATACTGTTATAAATATGTGTGACGTTCTCCGAAGAAAGTTACTTTAGAAGCAAAATATTTTAGATTTTTCTTATATTTAATTCTTCATGAATACTCCCTTTTTGGGTTTTTTACAAATTTTGATCTCCCTCAAACAAAAAAAAAAAAAAAAAACAAAAAAAAATTGTAGGTTATGCTTCTATTTTGTACAATAAAAATATGCAAAGGAAATCAACTTTCAATATAGATAATTGATCATATAGTCTTCATTAAATCTGAAATAATTAATACATGTATTTTTTATCTACTTTTTAATTTTGAGTTTAATTTCGATTTTTAACGTATTTTTTTCTGTTATAATAATAATAATAAAAATAAAAATAATTAATTAGTTAATACATCATTCATGATGATGTATTAACATAAAGCATTATATTCTAAAAATTAATTTTAGTTTTACACATAAGTAAATAGAAACCTTTAGTTACGGTAAATATGACACAAAAATAATCTTAAAATATTTTGCTTCTGTATAACTTTCTTCAAAGGTAAATATTAATTTATTTATAATAACTAAAAATTTTACTGCCGTAAATTACCTCAACAGTTTTATTTGATTTTCATTTACACATCCGGATAAAATTAGAATTTAGAAAAGTAAGAAATTGCAAATCTAATTGTTTTTGTTTTCTCAATTCCTTGGGAAATTCAATTGAACCAGAAATTAAAGAAAATAACAGTCAAATCAATTTCCTCTGTATTTTGCAAAAAGCCATTATTCGATTTTATCACTTTTTTTTTAAATTAATAAAATACTTGATTAATACAAAAAACAGTTGAAATTTCAATAAACTGTTTTTTGTTTGATTATATTCTGTGAATTTAAATGAATTATTTAAATACAAAAATTAAATTTTTTCCCCCACAGAATGTAAACTTGCAGCAATATTGACAACATTGCCTCAATATTTTGAAACTTGCAGCAATATATTGTTAATGTTGCTGCAAATTTAAATACTGTGGGGGTTATAATAATTGTAACTGTCCATGTTCTTTTTTCAAGTTATTATTAATATTTTCAAAAAGTTATGATAAAGAAATTCTTCAAATTAATTTTTTTTAAATAATTAAAAAAATATTTTTTTTGAAGAAAATAACCAAATTTTTAAAGAATTTTAATTATAAATATGAACATGTTTTCCCAGAAATTTTATTAAGAATAATTCTAAGAAAATGAATTTAAAAAAATGTTTTATTTACTTTGTTCGAAGATAATTAAATTTTAAAAAATTATGATAAAACAATTCTAAGAATTAGTTTCTTATAAATATGAAATCAGGGAATTCAGGGAAATGTAAGGGAAAGTAAAATTGGTCAGGGAAATCAGGGAAAAGTCAGGGAATTTTAGTAGAAGTAATGGAAAAAATTGAATTTTGATGCTTTTTTTTGTTTGCCTCGTAAACTATGAAATTACAACGAATTTTAATACAAAACCTTAAATTCTTTCTATTTCAGACAATAGTTTATTTTTAAATAACTTAATTTTACAAGAACTATAATAAAATTATGACTTATAAATTATTTAATGAATAATTTTTACAATTTTCATAAATACTAGATTGATAAAAAAATTTTACAAAAATGGAATTTTGGAAAAGTTACAAATAATTTCAGAAATTCAATTATATTCAAAAAAAAAATTCTGGTCATTTCAATTATCTTTAAAAATAATAAAATTCTTCTCCAAAATTAAATTATGTTAAAACATTTTTTAAAAATTCTCGTCAAAATTTCAATTATCCTTATAAGTAATACAATTCTTCTTCGAAATTCAATTATTTTTAAATACTTTAATAAAATTCTTGGCAAAATTTCACAGAAATTCAATAATTTACAAAATTTTTAATAAATTTCTTCGAATTAAATCAATTATTTTTAGAAATAATAAAATTTTCACAGAAATTCAATTATTTAATATAAAAAATTTCAAAAAGTTTTCCAAAAAATATCAATTATTTAAAAAGAATTTTATAAAATTCGTCGCAAGAATTCAAGTATTTAAAAAAAAGCTAACAAAGTTCTTTTCAAGAATTACAATTATTTTTAGAAATAGTAAAATTCTTCACCAAAATTCAATTATTTTTATAAACTTGAATAAAATTCGTTGGAAGAATTAAATTATTTTCAAAAGTAATAAAATTCCTCGCAGAAATTCAATTATGTTCAAAAATTAAAAAAAAAAATTCTTGTCAAAAATTTCAATTATCTTTATAAATAATAAAATTCTTTAATATTCAATTATTTAAAAAAATTTTTTTAAAAATTCTCGTCAAAATTTCAGTTATTGTTATAAATAATAAATTCTTCTTCAAAATTCAATTATTTTTAAAAATTTTAATGAAATTCTCCACAAACTTTCACAGGATTTTAGTAATTTATAAAATTTTTAATAAATTTCTTTGAAATAATTCAATTATTTTCATAAATAATAAAATTTCCACATGAGTTCAATTATTTTATATACAAAATTTCATCAAATTTGTCGAATAATATCAATTATTTAAAAAGATTTTTACAAAATTCGTCGCATGAATTCAATTATTTAAAAAAAAAATTTACCAAAGTTCTTATCAAGAATTCATTTATTTTTATAAATAATAAAATTCTTCACCGAAATTCAATTATTTTAGAAATATTTTAATAACATTTTTGGGAACATTTTTAATTATTTTCATAAATAAGAAAACTCATCGCAGGATTTTAATTAATTTTTTATACAATATTTTAATTAAATTCCTCGAAAAATGTAATTATTATTAAAAATGTTATTAAAATATTTCAAAGGAATTTAATTATTTAAAAAGTTGTTAATAAAATTCTTTATGAGAATTCAATTTTAACAAACATTTAATTATTCAATAAATTATTTATTTTTTAATTTAAATAATTAAATTCTTCTAGAATTTTCTAATAAATATTGATTAAAAAAATGAATTACCGAATAATCGATTTATTATTTATGAAAATAATTGAATTATTGTAACGACTTTTATTACAATTTTTTCAAATAATTAAATTTTTTTTAGAAAATTTACTACTTTTAAAAATAATTGAATTCTTGCGAAGGATTTTATTAGGATTTTTGTAAATAATTAAATTTTTTTTTGAAAGATTTCATGGTTATTTAAATTATAACAAAACGTGAAGAAGGAGATCACTCCGAGTCGAAGATCTCCTTCTTTATGTTTTGTTATAATATTCTTATAAATTGTTGAATTTCAAAAAGGTTTGAATTCGAATGTTTTGAAGAATTTTAATTCCTACGGAAAAATAATAATGATTAAATATTTATTTAAAAAAGAAGTTTTTGATGTTTTCGAATAATTTTACTTTTTGATGAAATTTGTAAATAAATGCAATAGAACATTTTTTTGAGTATCTAATAATTTTTAGAGTGAATCAGAATATTCTTTAGGGTCAGGGAAAAAGTGAGAATTTTGTCTGGAAATCAGGGAAAAATAAAATTAAATATTTGTGGCAACCCTGATAGTGAAACTTGCACCAAATTTTGGTTTTTTTGTTGGTTCTTACGTGTTTTGTTTTCTAAAGGTCATGTTATTCAGTGCCAGTGGTCACGTGTCCCGTATAGTTTACTACAGCAACACGTGACCACTGAATATGTCCTTAAAAAAAATTTGTATATGTGTCTAATTTTCTACTCAATTAGGTAATTCTTTTTGTCCATTGACCCTTTTTTTAGTTCTTTTAGCCTTTTTTTCAAAGAGAACAAAAACAAATTTAAGACTATAACCTAAAAGGCTCTTTTTAGTTTCAACTTACGTTTAACATTAAAGTTCAAAAGGAAACTATTTCGATTCCTTAAATCATGACCTAGTAGAATCTAGATCACCCAGTAAACACAAAATAACAAATTATAATATCGCCATAGCTCCCCGTGAAAGTTGCCACTCGAAATGAAAATTTGCGTCGCCCCTTGACCATTAAAGACACACGTCACGTCCCTTCAAATCGCCGCTCTCCTTTGTCGCGTGGCGAAAGTCGTTTATACGGTGCAAACACCGAGTTATATTTATATACACGTTGTATCATATACCTGCCTTGTATTTATATATCTGTGTATGTTAGTACCTGGAAAAATCGAGGTCACCGAACTCCACCTCGTCCTCGAGGTGGGCGAATCCGTTGACACGATCCGTGGCTTCATCGTCTCCTGACAGTGTAATCTGCGTCGATGAGTAACGGACCCCAGCCTCCAACCAATCCTGATGATGTATATTATCACCGTCTTCATTAAAAACAACAAATTTTCTCTCCGGCTCATCGTCAACAATCACAACTGTCGCTCCTCCATCATCACTCAAAATAGAATTATTCGTTAGCGAATTATCGGACGATAGTCTTTGTCTTGGTTTTAGGGGTAATCTGGGTCTGTTGTTGTCATCAACTAAAGGAGGATTTTGTCTGGACGGTATCGGCGGTTTTGGAAAATTTGTTCTTTCTAGAGGTTTTGGAGCACGGGCAAGTTTTTGGGGACGTTCTCTGGGGAGGAGATTTTGTTTTTGGGTTCTTAATCGGGCTCGTGATGGGTTTAGTTGTATGTCAGCTAAACGGATTTCCCTTGGGTCGTGTCCATGTTTTTCTAAATTCTTCAGTCGACATTCCTCAACGAGTTCGTAGATCTCGTTCTCGAGGAGGCTCTCAACACTTGGGCGTCGACTCTGCGGAATCGGTGATGACGATTCAACACTCTCCTGATCGGAATTTATTTCCTCAGGAGAAATTTTCTCTTGGATTTCTGGTTTCTCGTTCTTTGGACTTTTTGCTGTTTCTGTGACTTTTGGCGAAGAGTTTAAATCATCTGGATGACATTCTTTTGTATCAGGATGGTTGGGGTACTCTTCGGCACTTTTTGATTCTTCGGTACTTTTCGTACCTTCCGTACTTTTCGATTCTTCTGCACTTTTCGTACCTTCGGCACTTATTGTACCTTCTGCACTTTTCGTACCTTCTGCACTTTTCGTACCTTCAGCACTTTTTGTACCTTCGGCACTTTTCGCTTCTTCGATATTTGTCAACTCTTCTAAAGATGGTTTTTGATTATTCGATTCGTAGACAATGGTCCGACCGGGCTGAAGATTAGATCGCCAGGGTTTGGTGTTGGGTGGAGGTGGTGCTTGCCTAGTGGGACAAGGAGGTCTGGGTGACCGTTTCAAGGCTTCGGCAACGACCTGTCGACTCGGCCTCGGCGGCACCGGAGGAGGATGAGGCCTCTGGGAGGTGGCGAGCTGCATTCCGTTGAGAAGCTTAATCTAATGGGTTCCTCCGCCTCCTAGAGGAGGCATAAACCTCTTTTTTTCTCTCCACGTCTCGAAACTTGAATCTTCTTTGAACTAAACACTATCACTGACGATGATTCACTACATTATCACCATATTAGTTATCCTTATCAAAATCAAGGTATTAGGCCTCGATACCATTATCACAATATACTAACTTTTCCCTCTAGAAGAAACTTTAGTTTTATTTCTTTGTTGAAACACGAAAAATGTCAAACTGCATACAGAACAAGCTGTTGCGCTCTCCTAAAGTGAATGGACAAATTCTTCTTAAGAATGAGAATGTTAAAAGGACTTTTTAATTTAGAAGGACTTTTTTAGAAGAATCCATTTTTGGTAAGCACTTGAAAATTGAATGTTGTGGTTTTGTTTTTTTTTTTGTTTCTTTTGTGAGAAGACTTAAAGTGGAACGCGATTGTAAATGTGTTTCTCGTTCTCATTGGAGAGGCCGACTTGAACTGACTACAATCCCAGCAAACATCCTTCGACTTGGAGAGACCACGTGACTGTTGAGCTCGCGTTCTCGGGCATCAGGTAGTCGCCAGTCGCCACGGAGTGTGTTTCTCATTCCGGGATAGACGTGTATGTAGGTGTGGGTGTAGGTGTGTACATATCGCAGTCAGCAGTATCGTCGTAGTATCGCGTGAGAGAGTAAAGTCGATGGAGGAGTGGAGTGGAAGGGTCCCATTAGGTATATCCCCTGCCTGCCTTCACTCCCCATTCTGGCTTTTACGTTCACCAGGTTCGTGTCGTGACACCAGTGAACCCCGTTTGCCCCGTTTCATATATATTACTATTATTTCAAAAAAAAAAAAAAAAAAAATGGGTCTCTAATAAATTATATATACCTGAAACGAAACGATCTTATATTGAATTTATCATATTTATGTCGTAATTGTAAAAAAAATTGTCTGAATGTTTTATCATAAGCTGAGACAAATTTTTTTTTTAATCCAAAAATAAGTAACCAGCCAAACAAAAAGGTTAAATAATACGTTTAATACCTAATAAAAAATATGTTTAATTCAATCATAAAATACGTTTAATTTATTAAACGTATTTTATGATTGAATTAAACGTATTTTTTATTGAATCAAACTTCTTTTTTTAATAATTGAATGCTATTCTTAAAATTGAATTCTCATAAAGGATTTTATTGATAAATTTTAAAACCAATAAATTCTGATGAATTTTGATGAATTTTAATAAAAAATTTTAAGAATAATTACATTTTTCCAAAAATAATTGAAATTCAGCGAAAAGTTTTATTATAATTATAAAAAATAATTGAATTCCTAAAAATTCTTACGAAATTTTTATTATTCATATGAAAATAATTAAATGTTTTCATAGAATTTAAAAAAAAAAAAATTTCTGAATAATTGAATTCTTTTGGTAATTATTATTAAAATTTCACTACATTTATAGAGATAATTGAAATTTTGAAGAGAATTTTTAAACAATTTTTGAAAATAATTGAATTTCTGCAATAGAAAAATTCTTTTCTAAAATTCAACTATTTTCAAAAATTTCAATAAAATTCTTGGCAAAATTAAATTATTTTCAGGAATTTTAATCAAATTCTTTGCAAAATTTAATTATTTGCAAGAATTTTAATAAAATTCTTTGCAAAATTCAATTATTTGCAAGAATTTTAATAAAATTCAATGCAAAATTCAATTATTTTCATAAATAACCAAAATTCATCACGAGAATTCAATTATTTTCAAAAGTAATGAAATTCTTCACAATAATTCAATTATGTTAAAAAATTATCAAAAATAACAACATTTTTTCCGAAATCCAATTATTTTCAAAAATTTCAATAATAATAAATTTTAATAATTGATAATAAAAAGAATTTCATTATCTTTGAAAATAATTGAATTCTTGAATGAATTTTGGTTATTTATGAAAATAATTGAATTTTGCAAAGAATTTTATTAAAATTCCTGCAAATAATTCAATTTGTAAAGAATTTAATTAAAATTCCTGAAAATAATTGAATTTGGCAAGAATTGTTATTAAAACTTTTGAAAATAATTGAATTTCGGGAAAAAATTTTGTTATTTTTGAAGATAATTGAATTTTTGCCAAGAATTTTATTAAAATTTTTGAACATAATTGAATTTCCCAAGAATTTTATTAAAACTTTTGAAAATAATGGAATTTCGGGAAAGAATTTTGTTATTTTTGAAGATAATTGAAATTTTGCAAAGAATTTTATTAAAATTCCTGTAAATAATTAAATTTTTCAAAGAAGTTTTTTAAAATTCCTGAAAATAATAAATTTTGCCAAGAATTTTATTAAAATTTTTGAAAATAATTGAATTTCGGAAAATTTTTTTGTTATTTTTGAAAATAATTGTAATTTTGCCAAGAATTTTATTAAAATTTTTGAACATAATTGAATTTTTGCGGAGAATTTTATTACTTTTGAAAATAATTGAATTCTTGTGATGAATTTTGGTTATTTATGAAAATAATTGAATTTTGTAAAGAATTTTATTAAAATTCCTGGAAATAATTGAATTTTGCAAAATATATAATAAATATATAAAATTAAATATATATTAAAAAAAAAAAAATTTTTAAATAAATATATATATGTTGAACTAATTTTAGAAGAATTTGAATTATTAAAAATTTTTCAATAATCGAAATTCTTTAAAATTTTTAATTAAATTCATTAAATATTCATTCTCGAGAAATATATTGCAAAATTCAGAATTATGAATCAACGCAACGATGGAAATTTTCGTCGCATAAACCAAAGCAAATCGTTTAAAAAATTAAATAAATAATATTTAAAATATTACAAACTATACATTCGCGTAAAATGAATGATTCATAAATTTTAGAGAATTTTCTTTCTTCTTCTGCTTGAAAATTGCGTCTTTTTTCGTTTGTATTACAAATTTCGAGCGATTCAGAATAAAAATAAAACTCAACAAAATAACTTTTTTTTTCTTATTGAATTGTAAACAATAAAATATGAAAAAAAAAGGTTTTTTCGAACATTTTTCAAATATTTTTTTCCCCTCCCAGACGAATAAATTTTTATTAATCTCTTCTATTCTTTTTATCATTGAAAGGAATTCCGTAATGTGAATACCGTCCTTGGAAATTTTGCTTCACTTATCTCTGTTTGCATAACTGAGTCACTCGTGATATTTTCTCTTTCTTATCTATAATTCTCTAAAAACCTTTAAAATTGGATTTTATTTTTGCAAAAGTACAAATGAAAAATGTTACAATGTATTAGAATGATAATATCAAAGTAAAGAGCATGAAAAGTGAAGTAAATTGATGGTTTTAGCAAGTGATGTAAATTTTTTTTTCCTATAGAAACATTGTCATTACAAGCGAGCATGACGCTGCGATATGTAATAACATCATAAAGAATGTATCATTTTATTAAGTATAAATGATAAAGTATAGACATTAATTTCTCTAAACATTGCATAACATTGTGAATTATTATACAAAAGTGAATAACAACTTGTAATAAAAGAAACTTTGATGTCATTTTTCTTCTTCTTACTTTACTTCTTAAAAAAATTATTTTTCGGAATTATAAATAAATATACAAATGAATACAATAACATAAAAAATTTTTTAAGAATGCCAAATTTTAACTAGATTGGAAGAATATGAATTAAATGAAATAAAATCGTTATGATAAAATATTAAATTTAGTAGAAATTAAATTAGTAATTAATACATTAAAAGAATCATAATAATTATAATAGTAAAAAAAAATAATAATTAAATATGTCTGACTTTTATTTTATTTGTACTACTGAAAAGAAATTATTAATAATAATATTAATAATATAATAATAATAATTAAAAACGTCTGACTAAAAATGTCTTTGAACTAACTGAAAAGATATTCTTAATAATATTAATAATAATTAAAAACGTCTGACTAATAAATTACTTTTACTACTGAAAAGATGTTGTTAACAATATTAATAATAATTTTAAAATTGATAAAAATAATTAAAAACGTCTGACTAATAATTTACTTGTACTACTGAAAAAATATTGTTAATAATATTATTAATAATCTTAATATTAATAATTATTAAAAACGTCTGACTAACAATTTATTTGTACTACTGGAAAGATATTCTTAATAATAATAATCTGAATATTAATAATAATTAAAAAGGTCTGACTAATACATTACTTTTACTACTGAAAAATATTGTTAATAATATTCATAACAACCTTAATATTAATAATAATTCAAAACGTCTAACTAATACATTACTTTTAATACTGAAGAGATGTTGTTAGTAATATTAATAATAATTTTAAAATTTATAATAATAATTAAAAACGTCTGACTAATAATTTACTTGTACTACTGAAAAAATATTGTTAATAATATTAGTAATAATCTTAATATTAACAATGATTAAAAACGTCTGACTGACAATTTATTTGTACTACTGAAAAGATATTGTTAATAATATTAATAATAATCAAAAACGTCTGACTAATAATTTATTTGTACTACTGAAAATATAATATAAACAGTAATAATAATAATATAAATATTAATAACGACAATGATAATAACAATAATAATATTAATAATAATAAAAAGAGAAAATTTTTAAAAATGAAAATAAATGACTAAATTTATCTTCTTAGAGAAAATAAATTTCTCGTTCTGAATAGAAAATTTGTTTTTACTATTATAAATATAATAACGAGCAAGTGAATAAACAGTAGTTATGAGTAATTGACAATTTCAAGAAATGTTTGAACTGAATGACAAAGACGAATGTTTTTGACGTAATGGAAAAATAAAAATCGTTTCAAGTCTATTAATTTATACATTAAACTGCGTGACACTTTTATTTTCTAGACTCAAATATAATAATTGTTTTACCTATCAAAGAATATTCGTATTCGTTAAAATAATAACTATTGTTTAAAAATAATTAAAAATTTTTGAATCTTCTCAGAAATTCAAGTATTTTCAAAAATCTTTTTAAAATTTTTGTCAAAATTTTTAATTAAAATTATGAAAGAAACTCCATTATTTAAAAAAAAAATTCAAAGAAATTCTTCAAAAAGAATTTAATTTGGAATTTTCAAAATTTTAACAAAATTTTTGCCGAGAATTTAATTACATTAATTTTAAAATTGAAAATATTTAAAAACAGGCATCGAATCGACTTTAAAAATACTTTGTAAAAATTACAACTGTAGTCCTTTCAAAATTCAATTATTTTCAACAATTATTTACTAAATTTCATCTCTAAATCAATTATTTAAATACAAAAATTCAATTTTCTATAATTGTTTATTTAAAAAATTATTAAGGTATAATATTTTCAAAAAATTGTAATAAAGAAATTGTAAAAATTAATTTTTTAAAAATATTTTAAACTAATTTTTGAAAGATAATAGTGTTTTAATTAAAATTCTTAAAAAAAATTCCTATAACTTATAGAAACCCGATAAATTTTTTTGTTTAATTTTACTTAAAAATTTTAAACATAATTGTGTTCTTCAAAATTTTTTAAATAATTCTAAAAAATTTTAATGTGCGTCCCTGAATTTTTTGAAATATGTAAGTAAAAATATATTGAAATATTTAAAAAATTTTTAAATTAGAATAGAAGAATTTTTTTTTCTAAAACATTTTTTAATATAGTTTTTCATTAATTTTCATTTTAAAATTTACACTTGAAGATTTTTCATATAAAATTTTTGAGAATTTAATTATTTTAAAAATTTGCAATTAAAATTCTTCAAAAGTTGATTTTCAAAAATTTTAATAAAATACTTTTAAAAAATAAACTTTGTTATACAATCAACAAAAAATTACTTTTGAATTAAATATTAATCATTTTGATTCAATTCATAATAAGTTTGATTCAATAAAAATTTAATTGAATTATAAAATATGTTGAATTTAAAACAATTTTTTTTTGTTGATTACATATTTTTGGATTTAAAAAAAATTTTTTTTTCAGTGTCGAGTTTAGTTTCGTGTTGTCAGACTTTGTTTACGATTTGATCTTCTATTCTTTATGGTAAAGAAGTAAAGTATAATAGTAAAGTAGTGAGGTATAGTTCTTGTCTAGTAGTTATAGTATAGTAATTCTTTGTTTTGATCAGTAAATTGTTTTCTGCACTTTTAGAGATTCAAAATTATCTGGTTTCATCGTACTTTTCTTCGTAATTTTCATTTATCAATAGTTTTCATTTTTCTTCTTTATAATGTTTGTTTCTTCATTTTTTTATCCCTTGACACTTATTAGTAGAGTTACTTATTCAGTATAGTTATAATTTAAAATAAAAAGTTTTTTTTCAATAAAAAAATATTAAATAAAAAAATATATGAAAATAACCTAATAATATGTGTCTTACCACTTGTGTTGCGTGCTGACACCTGGAGGATGTTATTACAGTCAACTACTCCTTGAATTTCCACTCTTGACGGCACATTGGACAAAGATGACTCGCTTGTTGAGAATGTAACCACTTCATAATGCAATGAATATGAAAACAATGTGAGCACTGACCCCAAACTGAAATATTTAATAGAAAAAATTGTTTTAACTTGTTCGAAAATCTAAATTTTAAAGAAATAAAGTTTTGACGCGTTTTTGGACCCGGCGACCGGCAGACGCGATGCAACTTTCCTCCTTCTCCCTATGCACACGGATACATGTTAACATTTAGGTATTTGCCTCTATCTGTGTATTGAAGACGAGGGGAGGTCAAAAACAATCCACACACTATCGAGGGGTTGAATCGATATTTTACTTTCATTTGCGCAGATGCAACTTTCATTCAGGCTATTGTGCCCCACAAAGGGGTTTTTGATTTCACTCCCAAATAAAGGAAAATTCATGTTTTTCGTTCTTTTGTGTACGAGAAAAAACTCCCTTAATATTGTCAAAATAAATCCCCCCTCAGGAAAAAAGTTTTTGTTATTCAATTAGATTTTTGAATTCAGGTCAACGAAAGGGACAAAGAACTATAAACAAAAAAAAAAAAAAATAAAATTATGCTAAGAGTAAAGAAATTATTACTTTTCTTAGAAAAATAAAAGACCAATAAAAAAAATTTAGATAGAAAAAGAAAATTTCGATTTTAAAAAATATTCATAATTACCTAAAGGACAATCGTCGCCGGGAACTTTGCAATCTGGACAACTTGCATCGAATGGCATTCGACAAATACCGCAATTATCATCGTTGGCAATCCATCGCCAAGTTGCAACTCCAGTCCAACCTGAAAAAAGAAAAAAAATATTAATAAAAAACTATATTAAAATGATTCATTTCTATATTAAAATAATTCATTTCTATATTAAAATGAAAAAAAAAGTTTGAAAATTAGAATCAAAATAATGTATTTTGAGGTTAGGTTATAAACCGCTTTTTTTTGTCTCGTTAACTATTCTTTTAAAAAGAAAACTAAAAACTGCATTGAAGTGACAATAAATCCTAGACATTCCGGTATTTAAAAATATTGTATTTATTTTTAATTAAAAGAAACGAAACAAAGAACCGGATATATAAAGTAAACAAAGCACTTACTGTTAATTGTCACTTTCATCCTGTAGTTCTTGTTCGTCTTGCTTGTGGAGAATTTTAATCACATTAGGCACAAACTTCACTGAATTCAATTTATTATCAAAGTTTATAAAATTATCAATTAAAAACAAAGAGAATAAAGAAATATTTCAAATAAAAAATCCTTCCGAGAAAAAACACAGTTGTTGGAAAACGTGTTGAGAGAGAACGATGACCAACAGATGTTATTGAAATCAGCGCCGCCTTGTGGGAAAAAAAGAAAATGTCTTCTTACTTTAAATTTCTTTAAATTTATAACAATCTCTAAATTTTAGGATCTAAATTCAACAATGATAATTCTCACTTAAAAAATATGAGGTCGATATTTATAAAAATAATTTTCTTGCGAAGAATTATAAATTTTTTTTTTTAAATTGATTTCTATCCACTAATTTTATGCGAATTCTAGTTTAAATAATTGAATTCCTGAGAAATGTTTATTATTCATGAAAAGAATTGAATTCTTATGAAGATTTTTACAAAAAATTGTTTAAATAATTGAATTCTGTTTGGAAATTTTATAAAAATAGTAGATATTGAAAATCATTGAATTGCAAAAAGTTTTTAAAAATTAGTAAATTTTACAAAGAATTATATTAAAATTTTTGAAAATAATTAATAATAATAATAATAATAATTAATAATATCTGTGTTAATAACAATTAAAAACGTCTGACTAATAAATTACTTGTACTACTGAAAATACGTTGTTCATAATATTAATAATAATCTTAATATTAATAATTAACAACGTATAACTAACAATTTATTTGTACTACTGAAAAGATATTCTAAATAATATTAATAATGATTAAAAACGTCTGACTAATAATTTACTTGTACTACTGAAAAAATATTGTTAATAATATTGATAATAATATTAATATTAATTATTAACAACGTCTGACAAATAATTTACTTGTAGTACTGAAAAAATTTTGATAATAATATTAATAATAATTAAAAACGTCTGACTAATACATTACTTTTACTACTGAAAAATGTTGTTAAAAATATTAATAATAATTAATAACGTCTGACTAAGACATTACTTTTACTACTGAAAAGATGTTGTTAAAAATATTAATAATAATTAATAACGTCTGACTAAGACATTACTTCTACTACTGAAAAGATGTTGTTAATAATATTAATAATAATTTTAAAATTGATAAAAACAATTAAAAACGTCTGACTAATAATTTACTTGTACTACTGAATTTTATTAAAATTTTCAAAAATAATTCTAATTCCTGACAAAAATTTTAATAAAATTCCTGAAAATAATTTAATTTTTCAAAAAACTTTATTAAATTATTTAAAAAGAATTGAAGTTCTGTAACAAATTTTGTTATTTTTGAAAATTATTTAGTTCTTCATATGAATTTTATAAACATTGTTTTAAATAATTAAGTTTTTTTTGGAAATTTAATAAAAATATTATCAAAATTTTTATTTTAAAACCTTGAAGTCTTGTGGCAAATTTTATTTGTGAAAATAATTGAATTTTTCAAATTTTTTAAAATAATTGAATTTTCAAGAAAAAATTTATTATTTTTAAAAATAATTGAATTCTTGTGTGGAATTTTGTTAGTTTTGAAAATTAATGAATTTTGCAAAGAATTTTATTAAAATGCTTCAAAATAATTGAATTTTTGGGGAACAATTTTGTTATTTATCTTTAATAATTGAATTATTTCGAAGAATTATTTACGTAAATATAATTGAATTCTTCTAAAGAATTTAAAAAAAAACATTTTTTTAAGTAATTGAATTACTGCGAAAAATTTTATTAAAATCTTTAAAAAGAATTGAATTTCTGTAAAATATGTTTGTTATTTTTGAAAATAATTGAATTCCTTATATGAATTTTCATAAACATTGTTTTAAATAATTAATTTTTTTTTCAAAAGTAATAAATATTATAAAAATTTTATTTTAAATAATGGAATTCTTCTGGAAAACTTTATTTGTGAAAATATTTTAATTTTTCGATTAATTAATTTAAAATAGTATTTAAAATAATTGCAATTCTTCGATGAATTTTATTATTTATGAAAATAATTGAATTCTTGCTTATAGAATTTTATCAAACATTTTTTTAAGAAATTGAATTTCCATGAAAAATATGATTAATAGTGAAAGTAATTGAATTGTGAAGAATTGTATAAAAATTTTGTTAAATAATTGATTTATTCGAAATTTTTTTGAAAATGATATTCTCAATTAATTAAAATGAAAATAATTGAATTTTGGATCGTATTTTATCAATTTTTTTTAAATAATTGAATGCTTTTGCAAAAATTTTATGAAAATAATTGAATTTCGAATATTTTTTGAAAATAATTGAATCGTTCTAAAGAATTTGATTATAATTTTTGAAAATAATTGAATTTTGGAGAAGAATTTTATTATTTATAATAATAATTGAAAATTCGACAAGAATTTTCAAAAATTTTTTAGCATAATTGATGTAGATGAGTACGAAGCTTGTAAACGTAATAAATATTAACAAAATTGGGTCAATTTAAACAAATGTCCGCGCAGATTTTTTTTTTTTTTGTTTCAAGGGGTAAAAAAAATATTTTCGACAAACAATAAACCTGGGAATTTCCCCTACTTTGAAATTCTCTCGAATTTTCCCCGTATGACGAATCAGCTCCCCAGAAAAGAGAAATGTACCTACTGCGCAGAAAAAAAGCAAACGACAACGACGTTTTAGTTGTATACGTGACTTCGAACGTACTGCATGTTGTGAAGCGTTTTCTATAAAGACAAGAATATAAATTTTTAAATTTCCAGTATTTTTAATTTTTTTAATTCAACTTTCTTTCTCTTTTTTTTTGACCTTAAATTAAGTACAAATGAAATCCAAATTAAATTGGACTGATAAAGTGAATTTTTGTGAAGTGTAAAAGTGGAACCAGTGGGAACCTCTTTTAAAAAAGAGGTTAGAAAATGCTCTTGAGTAGCGGCGCGCCGCTCTCGAGTGTTTCATTTTCATCATCGACGATGTTATTCATCGAAATCCACAACGTGGTGCATTTAATCAAGTTGAAAAGTCGCACCACTAATTAAATCACAAATTCAGTGTTATTCAAAGTAAGATTTTTTTGTCTTAAAAAATAATGAAAATTTGAAAATAAAATTTTAATTTTACCATTTAAAAACACCTGCCAAAAAAGACATGGCGGGTTTTAGAGATGAGGACAAGGCTCTTTTTCCACTGCAAAGTATATCGTCGATTGTACAAATTTTTCAAAATCAATTGGAAAATAGCTCGGAGCCTGATCTTGCATTACTTTCTATTCTGGTTGGTGCGGTTGAAAATTCATTAACCTGCAATCGTACATTTACATCGCAAGACTCGATTGTTTATGATGAGCCAAAATTGCCAACTGTGGAATTTCACATTGCCGAGGCATTATATGCAAAATTTCAGGCGGTCATTAAAGGTGCTGTTGATTTAACGGTTTTTGATACAAAATATGCAACAAGAGAATTGGTTAAGAAAGTGTCAGACGTTATATGGAATTCGTTGACGAGAAGCTACTACAAGGACAGAGCACATCTTCAGAGTCTTTATAGTTATTTGACGGCGAATAAACTCGATTGTTTTGGAGTTGCTTTTGCTGTTGTTGCAGGATGTCAGGTATTGGGTTTTAAGGACGTGCATTTGGCAATGTCGGAGGATCATGCATGGGTCGTCTACGGGGAGGATGGTAACGAAACAGCTGAAGTCACCTGGCATGGTAAGTTTACATTTTTACAACTCAAGAATTTTTTAAATAGCGAAAAAATATTCTTAATTGAGGCTCCGGATCTTAAAAGGGCACTTGCAGCATTGATTTAAAAAAAATGGTAAAAGTGCCCTTTTAAGATCCAGAGCCTCAATTCTAATGGTTAAGCATGATTTTTCGATAATCAAATATTAAGTATTTAAAATTTTTCTGGCCTAAACATCTTATAAGATGTTTTTAGTCACTTTTAAGATACTGAATATAACTTAAGTTTTAAGTAACTTTGTAGTCACTTAAAGTTTGTTAAAAACATCAAGTTTAAAACATCTTATAAGATATTTAAACCAGAGATATCTTAATATAACATATTTAGACCAGAGACATTTTAATCAGGGCTCAAAACAGTGAAAGTATTTAAAAATACTAAAATACGGACTTTACGGACCGAAAATTAAAAATTAGGAACCAATTACTGGCAGAAAATAATATAACCAGTTCGAGTCAAATAAGAGAATATTTTACTTTAAACTATAAATTAAATTTTTTCATAACTATAAAATATGAAGATATCGATCAATCCAAGACTTCAATTACTCGGAGTAATCAATTTTTTGTATTATTAAAATAATTAAATGTTTGCGTAGAATTTTATTAAAAATTGTTTTTAAATAATTGAATTCTTTTGGAAATTTTCATTAAAATAGTAGACATTGAAAATGATATTGAATTTATAAAATTTTTTGAAAATAATTGAAATTTTGACAACAAAATACCAATAATACCGATAAATGAAAATTAAGAAGAAAAGTACGATGAAACCAGATAATTTTGAATCTCTAAAAGTACAGAAAACAATTTACTAATCAAAACAAAGAAATAAGATTACTATACTATAACTACTACACAAGAACTATACTTCACCACTTTACTATTATACTTTACTTCTTTACCATAAAGAATAGAAGATCAAATCGTAAACAAACTCTGACAACACGAAAGTAAACTCAACACTGAGAAAAAATATTTTTTTAATCCAAAAAGATGCAGTCAACAAAAAAAAATATGTTTTGAATTCAACATATTTTATAATTCAATTAAATTTTTATCGAATCAAACTTATTATGTATTAAATCAAAATAATTATATTTAATTCAAAAATAATTTTTTTTTTTTGATTGTATAACAAAGTTTAAATTTTGAAAATTCCAATTAAATTCTTTTTGAAGAATTTCTTTGAATTTTTTTTTTAAATAATGGACTTTCTTTAATAAGTTTAATTAAAAATTTTGAAAATAATTGAAATTGAACATTTAATTATTATAATTGAATTTTCGTAATGATTTTTCGTTATTTATGAAAACAATTGAATTTTATTAAAGAAAGAAATTAAATTAATTAATTAATTTAATTAATTAATTAAGAAATTAAAGAATTTTATTAAAATTTCTGAAAATAATTGAATTTTGTCAAGAATTTTTATTAAAATTTTTGAAAATAATTGAATTCCAGTAAAGAACTTTATTATCAGAGAAAATAATAATTTAATTCTTACGAAGAATGTTATTATTTATGAAAATAATTGAATTCTTGCGAAGAATTTTTGAAAATCAACTTTTGAAGAATTATAATTGCAAATTTTAAAAATAATTAAATTCTTAATAAATTTTAATGAAAAATCTTCAAGTGTTAATTTAAAAATGAAAATTAATGAAAAATTATATTAAAATATTTTAGAAAAAAGAAATTCTTAGAATTTTTTCATTCTAATTTAAAATTTTTTTAATTATTTCAATATATTTTTATTTACATAATTATTTCAAACAATTTAAATACACTTAAAAAAATAATTGAATTTCACAAAAGAATTTTGGTATTTTTGAAGATAATTGAAATTTTTGAACATAATTGGATTTTTTGCGAAGAATTTGATTACTTTTAAAAATAATTGAACTCTTGTTATAAATTTTTATTATTTATGCAAAAAATTGAATTTTGCTAAGAATTTTAATAAAATTCCTGAAGATATTTGAATTTTGCCAAGTATTTTAATATAATTCCTGAAAATAATTGAATTTTGCCAAGAATTTTATTAAAATTTTGAAAATAATTGAATTTTGCCAAGAATTTTATTAAAATTTTGAAAATAATTGAATTCCGGCTAAGAATTTTATTTCTTATTTATACCAAAAATTTTATTAAAATTTTTGAAAATAATAATCGAATTTTAATTATTTTTAATACAATTTAATGGAATTGCTCGAAAAATGTAATTTTTCTTTAAAAAAAACTTATTAAAATTCGTCAAAGAAATTCAATTATCTTAAAAAGTTTTGTTATAATTTATTTATTAGAATTTAAGTATTATTTTTGATTCATTTTTAATTAAATTTCTTGAAAGAATTAAATTAATTTCAAAAATTTTGTTACTAAAATTCTTTATTAGAATTGAATTTTAAGAAACATTGAATTATTCAAAAAATTATTTTTTTTTTGTATTTAAATAATTGAATTCTTGTAGAATTTTCTAATAAAAATTGATTTAAAGGAATAATTTAAATTCGTAAAACTGAATTCAATTATTTTCAAAAGTAATAAAATTCATCGTAAAAATTCAATTATATTCAAAAATATAAAAAAATTCTCGTCTAAGTTTCAATTAACTTTAAAAATAATTAAATTTTTCTCCAAAATTCAATTATTTTCAAAATTTTTCCTCAATTCAATTATTTTTAATATCTATTTTAATAAAATTTTTTGAAGGCATTCAATTATCTGAAAAAAAATTGATAAAATTCGACGAAATCATTTAATTATTTTCGTAAGCAATAAAAATTTTACAGGAATTCAATTATTTACAAATTGTTTACAAATTTCGTCGCAAATCAATTATTCTCATAAATATAAAAATTTTTACAGGATTTCAATTATTTTCGTAAATAACCAAATATTTATCATAAGAATTTAATTATTTTCAAAAGTAATAAAATTCTTAGCAGAAATTCGATTTTTTTCAAGAATTATTTAAAAATTCTCGTCAAAATTTCAATTATCTTTATAAATAGCAAAATTCTTTGTCGAAATTCAATTATATTCAAACATTTTTTCTTGATTCAATGATATTTAATATCCAAAATTTTAATAATAATTCCCAAAAGAATTCAATTATTTAGAAACATTTATTAAAATTCGTCAAAATAATTCAATTATTTAAAAATTTATTGATAAAAAGTTATGTATAAGAATTTAATTTTAATTCAAATATTCAATAAATTATTTATTTTTCTATTTAAATAATTGAATTCTAGTAGTATTTTCTACTAAAAATTGATTTTCATTTTATAAAAATGAATTTCAGTTCAAATTTTAGATAATAATTGAATATTAAAAGCAATATAGCGTGAATTTTTGAGAAGTAATGAAATATTGAAATTAATTTTTTTGAAGAAGTTGAATTAAATTTTTTTTTTATATTATTTGAAGTTTTTATTTTCGAATATATATATATTTAATTGAAGAATTTACGTATAATTAAAAATAGTAAAATTGAATATTGTAAACAAATGAATTTAAAGATTGTCAGAAAACTTTTTCGAAAATTATTAAAAATAATTAAAGAAGAATTTTAGTTAAAAATTCTAGAAAAAAAAGAACTTTTTCGAGAATTATTAAAAATAATTAAAGAAGAATTTTAGTTAAAAATTCTAGAAAATAATAATTGAATTGAAATGATGAAAATAATTTTGAAGAAGTTACAATAACAATATTCTTATAATATAAAATAATGATTTTATCACTCGGTTAACTTTAATGATTATAAAAAATGTAATTTATAGTTTTAAGTAAAATGTTCTCTTATTTGTCTCGAATTGGTTATATTTTTGTCAATAATAATTGGTCCGTAAATGGGTCTAATTTTTAATTTTTGGTCCGTAAAGTCCATATTATTTTGAAATACTTTGACTGAATCGAGCCCTGTGTGTATTCCTGAAAGTGGAACGTTTTAGGGCCCTTTCTTTCATATACGTTTTATGATATTAAAATTTGGAGCAAGCTGATTGCGTGAAGTAACATCTGCCTTCTTTGTTCTTAGGGAAAGGAAACGAAGACAAACGTGGACAGCCAGTGGAAGCAGGTGTGGCGTCTCGATCGTGGTTATATGTTAACGGCCAAGCTGTAATATGCAATCGAGCAATGGAAGTTGCAACGATTGTGTCGGCGATAAATCCTAGTCTTAGCGCGACTGCAGACGCTGCTGAAGTTGCATTATTGCAGCAGGAATTATTATGGTTACTCTACGATTTGGGACATCTCGCCAAATATCCAATGGCTCTTGGCAATTTGGGTGACCTTGAAGAAGCAGCGCCTACACCCGGAAGACCGCCTGCAATTGACCTCTTTCAGGTCCGTTACTTTTTTCCACTTTCATTTCCTAAAGTGTGTCTCTCTCGCCCTTTTTTTGCGACTTGACTTGATTTCTTGCGCAAACTGCCGAGAGAGAGACCTTATTATTATTATTTTTATCAACACTGTTGTTTGCCTTTTTAGGAAGCTATTCGATCCGCAAGAAAGTATTATGGCAACGCACACGTTTATCCCTACACTTATCAAGGTGGATACCTTTATCGTCATGGTTTGCACTCCGAGGCTCTTTCTTCCTGGGCGGATGCTGCAGACGTATTAAGAAAGTAAGAATTACCAAAAAAAATACTTTCTTCTACTTCAGAAGAAAAGGTTGTCACGCAACCTAGAAATCTGGAAAACCAGGAAATGTCAGGGAATTTTATTTATTTATTTATTTATGTTATAAATTTTTTTAATATATATTTAATTAGATAATTATTAAGAATAATGGATTTATAGAAGAATTTTACTTAAAAACACTAAAAGAAATTGAATTTTGGACCAGTTACAAATTTTTGCAGGAATTCAATTATTACAATCGAAAGTAATAAAATTCTTATCACAAAATTCAATTATGTTCAAAGTTTACAAAAAACTTTCGACAAAATCCCATTTATTTTCTTTGTAAATAAAAAAATTCTTCAAAATTCAATTATTTAAAAAAAAAATTTTTTTAATCTAGTCAAAATTGCAATTATTTTTAGAAATAATAAAATTCTTCTCCAAAATTCAATTATTTTCAAAAATTTTAATAAATTTCTTGACAAATTTCAATTATTTTCAAAAATTTTAATAAATTTCTTGACAAATTTCAATTATTTTCAAAAATTTTAATAAAATTATTCGCAAAATTCAATTATTTTTCGGAGTTTTAATAAAATTTTTTGCAAAATTAAATTATTTTCATAAATAACCAAAATTCATCACAAGAATTCAATTATTGTTAAAAGTACTAGAATTCTTCTGAGAAATTCAAGTATTTTAAAAAAATAATAAAATTCTTCACAAAAACTCAATTATTTTCATAAATATACAAATTCATTTCAGGGATTCAATTATATTTCCTAAAGTAATAAAATTCTTCGCAGAAATTCAATTATGTTCAAAAATTATTAAAAATTCATGTCAAAATTGCAATTATCTTTAGAAATAATAAAATTCTTCTCCGAAATTTAATTATTTTCAAAAATTTTAATAAAAGTATTCGCAAAATTCAATTATTTTCATAAATAACCAAAATTCATCACAAGAATTCAATTATTTTTAAAAGTACTAGAATTCTCCGGAGAAATTCAAGTATTTTTAAAAATTAATAAAATTCTTCACAAAAACTCAATTATTTTCATAAATATTCAAATTCATATCAGGGATTCAATTATATTTTCAAAAGCAATAAAATTCTTCGCTGAAATTCAATTAAGTTCAAAAGTTATTAAAAATTCATGTCAAAATTTCAATTATCTTTAAAAAAAAAAAATAATTAAATTCTTCTCCGAAATTCAATTATTTTCAAAAATTTCCCTCAATTCAATGATTTTCAATATTTTCTACTTTAATCAAATTTGACAAAAAATAAAGAATTCAATTATTTAAACAAAATTTTAATAAAATTCTACGCAAACATTAAATATTTTCATAAATAATAAAATTCTTTTTAGGAATTCAATTATTATTTTCATAAATAATAAAACTCATCTTGAAAAAAAAACTTATTTAAATTCATCAAAGAAATTTAATTATCTTAAAAAGCTTTGCTTTAATTTATTTATTGGAATTTAAGTATTATTTTCAATTCATTTTTAATTAAATTTTCTTAAAAGAATTAAATTATTCTAAAAAATTTTAATAAAATTCTTCGTAGAAAATTAATTAGTTTCAATAATTTGTCAGAATTTAATTATTTTTAATATCTACTATTTCAATAAACTTTCACAAAAGAATTTAATTATTTAAAGAGAAATATGAATAAAATTCGTCTGAAGAATTGCAAGTTTTTTTTAAAAGTAATAAAATTATTCACAGAAATTCAATTCTTATGGTAAAAAATTTACAAAAATTTTCGTCAAAATATCAATTATCTTTATAAATAATAAGATTCTCTAAAATAATAAAAATTTCATAGGAATTCAATTATTTACAAATTTTTTTATTTATGAAAATAATTGAATGATTGCGACGAAATTTATAAAAAATTTGTAATTTGAATTCCTGTAAAATTTTTATTATTTATGAAAAAATTAAATGTTTTCGTAGAATTTTATCAAAATTTTTTATATATAATTGAATTCTTTTAGAAAATTTTTTTTAAATAGTAAATATTGAAAATCATTGAATTGAGGTAAAATTTTAAAAGTAATTGAACTTTCACCAAGAATTTTGTTAAATTTTTTTGAAATAATTGAATTTTTGGAGAAGAATTTTATTATTTCTAAAGATAATTGAAATTTTGTCGAGAATTTTTCTTATATTTTTGAATATAATGGAACTTCTACAATGAATTTTATTACTTTTGAAAATAATTGAATCCCTGAAATGAATTTGAATATTTATGAAAATAATTGAATTTGTATGAAATTTGAATTGTTTTTGAAAATAATTTAATTTCTGCGAAGAATTCTATTACTTTTAGAAATAATTGAATTCATGTAATGAATTTTGGTTATTTTTGAAAACAATTGAATTTTGCAAAGAATTTTATTAAAACTCCTGAAAATTATTGAATTGCAAGGAATTATTTTTAAATTTATCAAGATTTTGTCAGGAAATCAAGGGAAAAAGGAAATAAAATTTTTGTGGCAACCAGGATTGAGTAATAGATAAAATTTGTAAAAACTTATTACAGTTATTTAATTTGGTAAAATATGTATGTAGTTTTAAAAACCTGGGAAAACTCCGTTTTTTAACCTGGAAAACCTGGAAAAGTCAGGGAATTTGAAATGAACAAAAGAGTGGCTTTATTTATTTACTTCTATTTTCTTTTATTCCAGATACGATTACTCCAGAGACGATGGGGAAATTTACAAAGAACTTCTAGAAATCGCCAACGAACTGATACCACACGCTGTCAGGGCCGATGAACGTCTCCTCCGTCAGCCCCGATGTTTCGCTCACCTTCTACGTTTCTACGACGGCATTTGTCAATGGGAGGAGGGTGCGAACACTCCCGTTTTGCATATCGGCTGGGCACGTCCTCTAGTTAACACAATATCAAAATTCGACGCCAGTATTCGAGCACAAGTTGTCATTGAATGCTACGAAACGGAGACAAAAATCGAAGACGAAAATGTGCATAAAAAAGAAACGAGTCCCGACGAGACACTCAATAATAACAATAATAATTATTACAAGACAAAAGAAAAGGGCAATACGGCTCGTGATTTAATCAAAAGTTTAGAATCGAAAGTACCAGCAACACCGGCACCGACACATCCCAGTATTCAGGCATTAACAGCGGCGTGTAGCGAGAAAATACTCAACAGGGATTATCTTCTGCAGGGCGATGGCGAACCATTTGTCGCGCCACCTGAATTGACAATAAATTCGGCGCCTTCGACATCAACGCAGGAATCGACCGTTGCCGCCGAGGAGATTGTCGACGATCCTGAGAATGAGAAGCCAAAGATAACGCTCTACAGTCAAAAAATGAAGGGTCTCAAGGATTTACTTCTTGCCGAGAAGCTCAACACTCATGCTATTTCATTGCAATTAACAGCGCAGAGTCAAGTTCAAATTGGTAAGAAAACGAGAAGCGGTGATGAAATTGGTATTAATCAACGACCAAAGAGAACACGTCGTGATTAATATCCCTTAAATTTTGCCAGGAGGAAAGAAAAACAAAATTAGAAATCCAATTAAAAACTTGGAGGTAATTTGATATTTTTAGTCTTTGAAAATCACAATGAGAATTTTGTCAAACGTATACGATTCCCTTTCTTTAGAAAAACAAAAAATTCTCCAGAGTTATTTCCAAAAGGCACACTTTTCGTTTTTGTTTTTCCGAGATTTGAGATTTGAAAAAATCCGAGATTTGTTTTTCTCCGTAGGCACATATTTGAGATTTTCTGAGCCAGTAACAGAAGCGATATATTTATCGTTAGATCGATAAGTTATTTAGAGTAGTTTTGAAAGAAAAAAGAACATTTTTGTAGAAAAGTATATACAAAAACAAAAAGAAAAAAAAAATTATTAAAGCTGACGTTTGCGATTTTTTTTTTCAAAAAACGAGAGTCAAAATTACTAATTTATTGAATTTGTTTTCATTCGAGAAAATTTCGTTGAATTAACAGAAAATAATTCGTTCTCTCGTTTAGAGAAAAAAGTTTTCGGAAATTTTTGCATGATTCGTAACGTTCTAATTGTTTGGGCTCGAACCAGGTCCGTAAATTATAATTTCAATTCTGTTGAAATTAGTTTACAATTTTTAATACATATTTAATATTATTTCACAAATTTTAACCCAATTCGAGAATTCAATTATCTTGATAAATATCAAAGTTCCTTCTAGAAATTCAATTATTTTCGGGAGTTTTAATAAAATTCTTTGTAAAATTCAATTTTATTTTCAAAATAACCAAAATTCATCGCATGAATTCAATTATTTTTAAAATTCCAGTCAAGATTTTAATTATCTTTAGAAATAGCAAAACAATTCAATTATTTACAAAAGATTTGGATAAAATTCTACAGAAACATTTAATTATTTTCCTAAATAATAAAATTTTCATAGAAATTCAATTATTTTCATAAATAATAAAAATTTCATAAGAATTAAATTAATTTAAATCGAATTTGCATAAATTTTTTCGAAAAATATTAGTTATTCAAAATTTTTTTAATAAAATTCTTGGCAGTAATTCAATTATTTTCATAAATATTCAAATTCATTTCAGGAATTCAATTATTTTCAAAAGTAATAAAATTCATCGTAAAAATTCAATTATATTCAAAAATATAAAAAAATTCTCGTCTAAGTTTCAATTATCTTTAAAAATAATTAAATTTTTCTCCAAAATTCAATTATTTTCAAAAATTTTCCTCAATTCAATTATTTTTAATATCTATTTTAATAAAATTTTTTGAAGGCATTCAATTATTTAAAAAAAATTGATAAAATTCGACGAAAACATTTAATTATTTTCGTAAGGAATAAAAATTTTACAGAAATTCAATTATTTACAAATTGTTTATAAATTTCGTCGCAATTATTCAATTATTTTCATAAATATAAAAATTTTCACAGTGTTTCAATTATTTTCGTAAATAACCAAATATTTATCATAAGAATTTAATTATTTTCAAAAGTAATAAAATTCTTAGCAGAAATTCAATTTTTTTCAAGAATTGTTTAAAAATTATCGTTAAAATTTCAATTATCTTTATAAATAGCAAAATAGCAAAATAATAATAATAGCAAATAATAGCAAAATTTCTTCTTCGCCGAAATTCAATTATATTCAAAATTTTTTCTTAATTCAATGATTTTTAATATACACAACTTTAATAATAATTCCCAAAAGAATTCAATTATTTAGAAACATTTATTAAAATTCGTCAAAAGAATTCAATTATTGAAAAATTTGTTGATAAAAAATTATGTATAAGAATTTAATTTTAATTCAATTATTCAATAAATTATTTATTTTTCTATTTAAATAATTGAATTCTAGTAGAATTTTCTACTAAAAATTGATTTTCATTTCATAAAAATGAATTTCAGTTCAAATTTTAGATAATAATTGAATATTAAAAGCAATATAGCGTGAATTTTTAGAAATAATTGAATTTTGAAATTAATTTTTTTGAAGAAGTTGAATTGAATTTTTTTTATATTATTTGAAGTTTTTATTTTCGAATATATATTTAATTGAAGAATTTACGAATAATTAAAAAGAATAAAATTTAATATTGTAAACAAATAAATTTGAAAATTATCAAAGAACTTTTTCGAAAATTGTTAAAAATAATTAAAGAAGAATTTTAGTCAAAAATTCTTGAAAAGAATAATTGAATTAAAAGGATGGGAATAATTTTGAAGAAGTTACAGTAACAATATTCTGATAATATAAAATAATGATTTTATCACTGGGTAGTCTTTTATTATTATAAAACATGAAGAAATCGATGACTTCGAGTCGAAGACTCGGATTTATCGATATCTTCATGTTTTGTAGAATTTATGAAAAAAATTTATAGTTTTAAGTAAAATGTTCTCTTATTTGACTTGGACTGGTTATATTTTTTTGTCAGTAATTAGTCCGTAATTTTTAATTTTTGGTCCGTAAAGTCCCTATTTTTAAATACATTTTTAAATTTACTGGTTCGAGCCCTGAATTGTGGATCTAATTTCTTTTATTCCCAAGAATGAAAGTTTAGATCCGCCTAATGGTTATTTATTTCTCGCAGAATAGTTTATATATTTTATATCGACATAGTCGATTATTTTTCTGTCTTCATGTATTTTATATCTACTATACTTGTTGCACTTTTGCTTATTTATTGAAAAAAAAAATTATTTTTATCTCCAGTGATTTATAAATATTGCAAACTTTATAAATTGCAAAATTTATTGCGATTAACAAAGTTGTCGTTAATGTTTTTTTTTTAAATAACATTTAAAAAAAAGGAATATGTAGTTGAATATTAGAATGACGCTTTTAAAAATCTAGTTAGAGAAACAACATTCCACTCCCTTAGGTGGTGTAAATTTTAAGTTTTACCTAAAGTATCTTAAAAAGCATTAAATGCTTTGCTTATTTTTATAACTATTTATTTACAGAGTAATTATTTTAATTATTAATTTTTATTTCTAAGTCGATTCTATATTTCGTGTGTCGAGAGAAAATACGTCGTGTTTTTTTTATGTTTGTTTCAAAATTTTATTTTTGTGTGTGTGTTTTCGTGTATATTTTTGAAATATTTTAAAAATATTTCAGATTTCTATTTTTCAATTTTTTTTAAATATATATTTATATAGAGAGAGAAATTTATAACATTTATAACATTTATAACAATTTAAAAAAAAACTATTTTATCTAATATATTCTCTAATTTTAACAAGTCTTGATTTTAAAAGTTTAGGGACAAAATTTCTCTTGAACACTTTTGTTTTTGCAATTTTAACTATTTTTCCTTGAGTATTAAATTAACTCGAGTGTATCAATTACTGTGTTTTAATTTTGTAGAAATGTTTCCAAATTTGGCAATTATGGCGAAATCTGAAAAAAAATTTACTACATATAAAGTTTTTATTTTATTAATAAAATTGTTACACTTGAGTTTTTACTCAAAATCCTTTTTTTTATGGAAGCTTCCAAAAATGGAGAAAAAAGATAAATTTACGAAAAATGAAAGAAAAATAAACAGTGGAATATTGTAATGTTAAAATGGAGCAGGGTAAAAAATATTATAATTTTAATTGCCACGATTGCAATCGGGCTTGCCATTGAAAAGTAGTCGACGATTTAATAATTAAGGTCGTTTATCGTTATATTTCAAAAGAGGCCCGTTGAAAAAAAAATATATATACATATATGTAATCACAAAATTAATTCATGAATTAAAATTAATTAAAATCAATAATTTTAACTGACAATAGAAAAATATTTCAGGAACAGTGCATTTTCATTTTTAATTACAATTTAAATTGTTGAAAAAAAAATTTTTGAATCTTAATAAAAAAAAAAATACATTCTACGCAAAAACGAAATTTCATGAATATTATATATGTGTATATATATTATTATATATATAAAAATAAATATATATGAATGGTTTGTTGTAGGATAGGTTTGTTAAAAGGATTGAAGATAATATTTGCGAATGAAATATAAATTGGTCCGACGATCATGTATAAAAAAAAAGAAGGGCGCTATCTTACTGTGATGCTGAATATATTATTACGTATTAATATTCTAGTAATAACGAATTTGCAAAAAAAAAAAAAAGGTGACGGGACACGAAAAATACTTTCAAATATCAGAGGAGAATTTTTTTTGTCTCATCCCTCTTCCTCAGCCATAAATACGATGAAATTGCCAAGAGATGTAATTTGATGTGAAAATTAACGTCACTTTCGTTCATCGTTAATTCTTTCACATGAATATTTTTTTCTTAATTTGAAAAATTAAAAATAGAAATTGAAAAAAATTTTTTTTCCTAATTTCTATTTTTAATTTTTTTCCCTAATTTTCTTGTTTTATTTTTTTTTAATTATTTCCTAATTTTTCCTAATTTTCATTTATGGAAAAAAATTTTCCCTTCCAAAAAGTAATTTAATTTCAATGTCGATCCAATTTTGCAGAAAATTTCCAATTAAAAAAAGAAAATTAGAAAAAATATTCAGAAGAAAATAGGAAATAATTAAATTATAGTTAAATTAATTATTTCCCATTTTCTTCTGAATATTTTTACTAAATTTTCTTTCTTGAAATCCGATTTAGCAAAAGAATCATTTTTTTTATTTCTCAAGAAATAGAATTCAAAAAATTCGAAACTTCGTTAAAATTCACATCACACTTCTCCTCGTTTATCGAAAGTTGGTGAATAACGCATGAAAAAAAAAAGAAAACAGGAAATTGTCATTCGTCAGGAGAAAATAAAACGAATGTAGTGATTGTAAAAAAAAAACCAGAGAAGAAATTATGATTTTCGAGCAAATTTTCAAAAAAAAAAAATAAAGCTTGAAAATAAAAATTGAAAAAAAACGTTATATTATCGATAGGATTCAGAAAAAAAACAGAAATGTTTAAAGTTGTAATAATTGCGAGAGAGAGAGAGAGAGAGAAAGAGAGAGTTTGAATATTGTATGAAGAACAGTATTTTTGTATTAGGACTGATAATTCGAATCTATTAATTGTAGTGTAATTTTTTGTTCCTCATTTTATCTGGAAAATATTGACAATATTAAATTTTCAATTTTCAATGTTTTCCGATAAAAATATTCGAGGATATCTCGTGAAATTTTAATATATTATATATATATTTAGGCGTGAACACAGTGATTTTCGATTTTCTTGGAGAGAAAAATCAGAAAGAGATAAAAAAAAAATAACAATTTTAAAATATAGTTAAATGTTAAATAAGATAATCTTTCTCCGTAAATCAGGCTCCTTTTATCGCCTAAGCAATTTTCTCTATTCAAATAAATATATAGGAAACTTTACAATAAGAAATGGAGTGACAAAATTTTCCCGAAAAAAGAATTTACTAATTTTGAAAATTTATTTTTGTGAATTAAAAAAATCGAAAATTTGGTTTTTTTCCGACAGAAAAAAAATTTAATTCAAATAAATATTTACTTAAATTAGATAATTTTTATTTATCAGTAAAATAATAAATAAAATAATGAAAAAGACCCGATTAGTCGGTAGTTTTTTATTTTTTTAATTATTTTCCTAATAATTATAAATATTTGCTCCAAAAACTGGAATATAGAATTTAATTGACTTAAATAAAAATCTAAAAATTATTTTATTCAATCAAATATTTATTTGATTCAAATCATTTTCTTTCAGTTAAATTATTTTTTTAATTAATTAACATTAATTAACATTTCTGTTTAGAAATTTTATTTTCTAAATTTGTATTAGAACTGAAAAAATTGTTACTAAAAGATTTTTTATCCTTTTGTCACTCCTCGAATCGGAAAGTAATTTTCTTTTTACAGATAAAATACCGTTATTTCTTTACTACAATTTTTCCATTCAATTAAGCTTTAATTCCTATGCTTCACTCAAGGGGCAATATTAATTGCAATTAATTCTCTTTTTCTAATTTAATTTTCATTTTGAAAATTGCTTCCAATTTCTGTGGCTTTTTTTTCGCTTGTTTTTATTTTATATACGTTTTTCTCTTTTGGAAAGACTTGAAAACAGTTGCGTGTTTGCTGCTTCCAGAAGTATTCAATAATTTTTTTTTATAATTCTTTATCAAATAAAGTACATTAAAATACTGATAAATTAGATAACTTTAGAAGTTATAAATACAGAATTTATCCTCATGTTAAATGTTGTGCCTATGTTTTTAAAACTTTTAAAGAAAAAAAACTTTTAAAACAAAAAAAAAATGTTTGTAAAGGAAAAGCAATTTTCATGCGCAAGCACGTATCTGAAAAATTCCTATTATTGTAGAATTTTTAAGTTTTCTCCTCAATAAGCACAAATAGAAGTGATTTCAATCGTTTATTCAATAGGAAAAAAAATTCGCCCTTTATGTGTGTCAACAATTTAACGCAAAGAAAAAATTTCCTTTTGTCGAATAAATTGTAAATAGGGAAACATTTACATTCTTCTGAATCAGCCAAGGGATTTATTTATTTATTATCCTATCTTGAATAATTTAAATAATATGCGAAGAAAAATTCTAACGATAAATTGTCGATGCACTTTTTTTCTGTAAGGGGGAATTTTTACCGAGATTTTTTCGACTATTATAAAAATAAGAATGTATAAGATTTTCATGAAAATGAATCTACTTCCACGGGGCATATTAAATTAGAATTATAAGAAGCTATTAGAGTGATAAGTTGTTCGCTTTTTTTTAAAAGAAAGAAAAAAAAACTGTACTTAAGTGAAGACGAAATGAAAACTTGATTACGAGCTGCACCAGTGATACGTTAATTATACAGATCATTGTCATTAAAAACCCCTTTATCGATTACATTCTATTCACAACTTGAAATTATCAATCAACTTTTATTTGATTTTTTTTCGAAAAGAAATTTAATGAAAATTATTCATGTAAATAAAGGCACTAATAATATTTATTTGTTTTTCTAACTTTCAATTTTTCTTCGTTTGGTGTGCTATGAGTAACGAATAGAGTGTAATTGCAATTATTATCATTGTTAACTTGACAGAACAGTGAGTTGTAAAAGGCATCATCACAATGTCCTGTTTTTCAGTGGATTTACAATAAAATATTTTATTCTATCTCGTTTTGCTGTTGATTTATATTCTTCATTCCTTAGAAATAATTTCAATTTAAAATATATTTCTTGAGCATTGGAAAAAATTCGGAAATAAAAATTAAAGTTTTGAATTATTTTATTATTTCAAGAAAAATAGGATTGAATTTTGAAACAACTTTTGAAATTTTTAGAAATAGTAAAATTTAAAAAATTCATTACATTGAAATCATTTGAAATATTTTAATTCCTGTAGACAAAATAAATACCTAGCTATTTAAATATTTATTTTAAAAAAGTTATTCACTTTTGAATGTAATTAAGAAATTATAAAAAAATTGAGTCAAGATTATTTTGTTATAAAATACTTTTGCTTTTATTAATTAATGATTGAGGACGAATAAATAGTCTATTTATACAAACGTCGTACATTAGATTTTTATTTATAAATCTAACATATATTTTGTGACAAGGCTTTATATAGAAGAAACATTTTCTTCAATTTTTTTATATATATATAAACTGAAGATTATAAGTGTTATTTCGAAATTCTTATATATTTCAATAATAATACGTTTAAATTTGTTATTAATATAAAACGTAATAAATTACAGAACGGTTAAAAATTGATATACATATATAATGTGATAATAACAATAATATTTGGTCATTTGTTTATTAATGTTTCAAAGTTTAAAGAATTGTAGATTATAAGTTACAAATTGTCTCTTTTCTTTTCGTTTTCATTCTTTTTTCGTGTAAAGAAATGTCTGCATTTTTTCACGAAATATAACAACGATGGTAACTTATTTTACGATTCTTCAATTCTAATTATAGTTATCTTTAGTCTTACTTCTAAATTATAAATTTTTAGAAATAATATTTTACAAAAAATATTTAATTTGTCAAATTTTTTAGTAAGAAATGAAAAAGAAATATTTTTTCCCTCCAATAAAAATGTGAAATAATTCTTTCGCGATGAAAATAGTTCGCGAATTTTTATTTCTTTTATACATTATCTATATTTTTTGTTTTGTTTTTGAAAATAAAAAGTAACTAATACTGCATTGAATCCTATGTTATAGAAAATACACTTTTTTTTCAAAAAACGTTTTCCAAATAGTTTTTCGAGCCTCTATTTTTAATCTCGAGGGCTTAAATTAAGTTTGAGACAAACTTTTTTTTTCTTCAAAGAATTAGAAAAATTGGTTTTTCTACGCTTGAGAATTATTTTTTTTTGTTTTCAATTAGTGAATTGAAATAATAGAAACGCTGAATAATAAACGTTGAAAGAGAGATAGAGAGAGAGAGAGAGAGAGAGAATTTAAAGAAATTCATAACTATTACTAATTTATATCTGATAATAAATTCTAATAGTGTGATATTTAAGAGAGAAAAAAAAATTGTGGAAAAGGTTCGAGAGTATTTTTCTACTGATGATCTATATTTTGAAAGAACCATTCAGTGAAGAGTCGTAATTGTTGAGCAGCCGCGTGACTTTCGTCTTGGAGTCTGCGATTTTCGTCTCGTAAACGACGCACCTCGTCTTCTAATGAGAGTCGTCGACGAGTTTCCCTAGCCATTCGCAATTCCAATGTTGAAAGATGACTATGCAAATCCGAGACTTCATTCCTAGGGAAATTAATGAGAAAAATTAGATTAAAACGGCGAAAATAATTTACAAAAAGAAAATGTGGCTTGCTTCGAATAAAAGGTACCTTAGAGGTGCCTTTCTTCGTAGCGTTTTCACATATTCTCAGGGTTGCCACAAAAATTTAATTTCGTTTTCTCCTGACTTTTCCCTAAATTCCAAACAAAATTATTTTCATCATTTCAATTCAATTATTATTTTCTAGAATTTTCAACTAAAATTCTTAATTAAATCAATTACTTTTAATAATTTTTATTTTTTAAAAAAGTTCCTTGAAAATTTTCAAATTGAATTGTAAACAAATCAATTTTACGAAATTTTGATAATTCAGAAATTTTTCAATTAAATATATTATAGAAAATAAAATCTTCACATAAATTCAAGAAAATTTAAATTAAACTTTCAAAAAAGAAAGAAGAATTGTTAGTTAAAAGTAAGAAAAACTCAATTTTTCAAATATTTTAATTTGAAACCTTTTTAGAATTCAATTATTTCTAAAAATTCTATATTCTATAAAAATAATTGAATTTTTGTGAAGAATCTATTTAAATAATTCATTTTTTTCGAAAATATTAGGAAGATACTGTTTTAAATAATTGAATTCCTGTGAAAATTTTTTTTATTTATGAAAACAATTGGATTTTGGAGAAGAAATGTATTAAAATTTTTGAAAATAATTGAATTTTGGAGAAGAATTTTAAGGTTTATAAAGATAATTAAAATTTTTTTTAATTGAAAAAGAATTTGTTTATGTATGAAAACAATTGGATTTTAGAGAAGAAAAGTATTAAAATTTTTGAAATATTAGGAAAATTCTGTTTTAAATAATTGAATTCCTGTGAAAATTTTTTTATTTATGAAAATAATTGAATTTTGAAGAAGAAATTTATGATAATTTTTGAAAATAATTGAGTTTTGGAAAAGAATTTTAATATTTTTAAAGATAATTGTAATTTTGACGAGGAACTTTTTTAATTGAAAAAGAATTTGTAAAAAAAATTTGTAAATAATGAATATTTATGAAAATAAATACATGTTTGAATTTCATCAAAATTTTTTTTTAAATTATTGAATTCTTTTTGAAAATTTAATGAAAATAATAGATTTTGAAAATTTATGCAAATTCTATTTTAAATAATTTAATTATTGGCAAATTTTTATTATTTATGAAAATAATTGAATTTTTGCGTATTAGAATCATATTAAAAGTTTTTTCAAATATGTAATTGAATTTTTTTGGGAAATTTTATTAAAACTATCAGATATTGAAAATCATTGAATACAGAAAAATTTTTGAAAATAATTGAAATTTTGCTTTGAATTTAAAAAAGATTTTTGAAAATAATTGGATTTCTTGTAAGAATTCTATTACTTTTATAATAATTGAATTAATGTGATGAATTTTAGTTATTTATGAAAATAATTTAATTTTGTAAAGAAGTTTATTAAAACTCTTGAAAATAATTGAATTTCTTTAATTTACAACTTCTGCAATATTCCCTGACAAATTCTACTTTCCCTCACTTCTTCCTGAATTCCCTGACTTTTATGACTTGCGGCAACTCTGATTATATTTTTTAGCTTCATATTTACTAACGTTGAATTGTTGCCATCAATAATTCTCTCCTCGGGCCAATCTTGACAGTGTTTCGTCACTTTCGCACTGGGATCCAAATGATTAGGCCAACCGTTCGCTTCATTTTCCAACTGTATTTTCGCATCTCTTATGGCAGCTAAAGTGCTTGGGGGTTTCGTTATTGTATGCGGAGTCTTCGTCACTCTCGGCGACAATCTAAAAGAAACACTATCAATTAACTACAATAAATAATAATTTTGTTCTTCTTCTAGAAATTAAGAGTTGAATAATTACCGTTCTTCCTTCGTCATTTTATTCTCACTCGGCGCAGGACTCGAAGCTGTACTCGCATTTGAAATAACAGTCGCTGGCCTCGCCATTGTGAGTATAACTTCGGAGGCATTTCCATTTTCCTGTCCATTTCGCTCCAAAACGCTGAGAGTCGATGTACTGTTCCCACACAAATTTTCCCTCGATCTACATCGATTTTGAATTTCGAGAATATTATTATTCACCTTGTTGTTTGTATTTTGATTGTTAGCAGGAAAATTATTGTTCACAATTTGATTGTCGTCGGAAATAAAATCGGGATTAATCAGTTTCATTAGATCCTCCTGAAGTGTACTCGATGTTAAATTCGCTGAGTTTCTGTAGGAATTTCTAGCACCAGGTTTAGGGCGTGGACTCTGATTTCTTGAACCGCCACTTGACGGTGTTAAGTTTCCGGTTCTGTGTTTATTTGCACGTCGCATTCTTGGTGAAACGCTGCCCGAACCGTTTGATAATTCGTCCTCACTGGGAAGCGTCGATATGTCCGTGGCATTGCCATCGGTGACTCTCATTTCCGGAGGGAGACTCGTGATGAAATCTTTTGGTCTGTACTCGATGCACACCTGAAAAGAAAAAAAATTTCATTTTTATTGAACTCATTCCGCTTTGACAAAAATGCCACAAAAATTGAATTTCGTTTTTCCCTGACTTTTCCCTGACCCTGAAGAATATTCTGATTCACTCTAAAAATTATTTGATACTCAAAAAAATGTTCTATTACATTTATTTACAAAAAATTTAATTATATTCAAAATTATTTCACGAAAGAATAAAATTTTTAATAATATTTTTCGAAAAAATTCAATTATTTTCTAAAGTTTTAATAATTCCTTCGAAACAATTCAATTATATTTATAAATAGGAAAATTCTTTGCAAAAATTCAATTATTTTAAAAAAAATCCCACGAACGAATTCAATTTTTTCCTAATTCGTTATAAAATTTGTCAAAAGAATTCAATTACTTTCTAAAATTTTCATAAAATCTAATAATTATATGTTTAATATCAATTTTTAACAAACACGATTATTTTGAAAACTTGAAACAAATTGTTCATAAAATTCAATTATTTTCAAAATTTTTAATTAAAATTATAAAAAAACACCATTATTTAAAAAAAATTCAATAAAATTCTTCAAAAAGAATTAAATTAGAATTTTCAAAAATTTTAACAAAATTCTTCGCGAGAATTCAATTATTTTCCAAAATAATAAAATTCCTCAAAGGAATTCTTCTTCTCAAAATTCAATTATTTCTAAAAATTCACGCTATAATGTTTTTAATATATTCAATTATAATTTTAAATTTTAAGTGAAATTCATTTTTTAATCAATTTTTAGTAAAAAATTATTCGAGAATTCAATTATTTAAATACAAAAATAAATATTTATTTATAAATTTATAAAATAAATTGAATATTTATTAAAATTAAATTTTTATGAAGAATTTTATCAAAAATTTTTTAAAATATGTAATTATATTTTTTCGGCGAGATTTAAAAAAAATGTAAGAATAAATGCAATTTTCTATCATTTTATTTAAAAAAGGCAAAAAATAATTGAAATTCCGCGATAAGTTTTGTTATTTATGAAAATAATTGAATTCTTGCAATAAATTTTATTAAAAAGTTTTTTTAAAGAATTGAATTCCTGTGAAGAATTTTATTTGCGAAAGTAATTGAATTTCCGGAAAAAAATATTATTATTTATGAAAATAATTAATTTCTTGTGAAAAATTTCATTGAAATTTTTTTAAATAATTGGATTTCACAGAATTATTAAAACTTTTTGAAAATAATTAAATTCCATCAAGAAATTTCAGTAAAAAAATTGAAAATAACTGAAATCTTACGAAATTTTATTAATTTTTTTTTTAAATTATGGAATTCTTGTGAAAATGTTTATTTTAGAAAAGAATTGAATTCTTGGGATGAATTTTATAAAAATTTCATTAATAATTGAATTCCCATTAAAAAAATGTATTAAACTTGTGAAAATAATTGAAATCTTAAGAAGAATTTTATTGAAAATAATTGAATTGTATAGGAAAATTTTATTAAAATTTTGTCAACATTTTTTTTCATAATAGAATTTTTAAAAGAATATTTTATTTAAATTTTTGCAAAATAATTGAATTTCTCAGAACGATTTTTTTTTAATTCTCTGAATATATTTGAATTCTTTCAGGAAACTTCATTAAAAAATTGAAAAATAATTAAATTGATGGAAAGAATCTATAAAAAAATTTGGTAAGTAATTGAATTCCTGAGAAATTTGCATTTTAAAATTTTGTTTAAATAATTGAATTCTTTTATGAAATTTTATGAAAATAGCAGATACTGGAAAACATTTAATTGAGAATAATTTTTAAAAATAATTGAAATTTTGCCAAGAATTTTAAAAAGATTTTCGAAAATAATTAAACTTCTGTGAAAAATTCTATTAGTTTTGAAAATAATTGAATTTTACAAAGTATTTTTTTAAATTTCTGCAAATAATTGAATTTCTCTAAAGATTTTTGATATTTATGAAAATATGTAATTGAATCCCTGAAAAGAATTTTAATATTTACGAAAATAATTGAACTTGTAGAATCCAATTAATTTTGAAATTTTTATCAGGCAAGCGAAAAAGACACAAAAATTCTGAATTTTCTTATAAATTCTAAAAATTGAATTCTTTTTAATGCTTTTAATAAAAATCCCTGACTTTTCTGTTCTGTGGCAACTCTGTGAATCCGAAATTTCGAATATACAAAAAAAGGTCCCAAGATTTAAATTAAAAAAAATCTCTTTACTCACCTTATGCGGAACGGGTCTTTCCGACATTGTCGTCTTCAGACAAGTGACCTTATCCCCAACTTTAAATTCATGCGGTATTTCATGATACCGTTTAGTGTCACGCACGTGCTCATGATCTTCATGCTTCCCCTCCGCACTCTGTTGTTCATTAAACCTCAATTCATTTCTAATCAAATCAGATTCATATTTACTGCCCCGTCTCTCGTAGGTCTCTTCAAAATCATAACCAGTTCGCTTCTCCCGTTGTCTCACCACCTCCTCCTCGTGCTTCGTTCGTTTCTCCTCATAAATCTCATACTTTGAATTGCGATCCGCTTTCGTCTCATTGTTGTACTGCTCGTATTCATTGTATCGAATTAAATTATTATTACTCCCCGATTTGGCGACACTGTAACTGGAATTTTGGACCAAAGGCAGTGAAGTTGATACACCAAGTTTCTGATGCGAATGCAATTCATTCTTGTGAATTTCCCGCTGCGACGCGTAAGCACTCTCCTTTACTTCGTACTTTTCCTTTTGTTGCTTCACATAACTTTGGGAAATGTGCTCCGAATTTCGGTGCTCTTGATTACGAATTTCGTGATTGTGATTGTGATGAATTTCGTGACTTCGGGAATCGTTACGTCGCTCGACATTATTACGAGGATCGTGATTTCGAATTTCGTAGATACGATGCTCCTGATTGCGATGTTCTTGACTTCGAACGTCGGGACTGCGATGATCCTGATTTCGAACATCAGGACTGCGATGATCCTGATTTCGAACGTCGGGACTGCGATGATCCTGATTTCGAACATCAGGACTGCGATGATCCTGATTTCGAACATCAGGACTGCGATGATCCTGATTTCGAACGTCAGGACTGCGATGATCCTGATTTCGAACGTCGGGACTACGATGAGAATTCTCGAGTCGCTGGTAAGTTTCCTGTCGAATATTCTCCTGAAGTGCTCTCGGCGAAACGTAATTCGACTCTTTTGCAAAATGATCGTGATTGTGATGCCTCACTGAGTCGAGAAATTGCTTCCCCGTCGAGTAGTGTGATTCCTTCTTCAGACCCGGAGTACCTTTTGGAGTGCCGAGCTGGTAATTTTGCCTCGCTGGCAAAGGGGGTGGAGTCTCGTCCCGACGATGATCCTGATCCTGAGGCTCCAGGAGTTCATACCTTCAAAAAATTTGTCAATTTCCCTTTGTTAGTAAAATTTATTTTTTATTTTACTAAACATCATTTTTAACTTAAACTACAATTTGCATTTTTAAATGTGACGCGCTCTCAAGAAAAATTCTGTATTTTTACTCCAAAAATTATAAACGAGGTTTTTTTATTATATTTTTTATTTTATTATTTTTTTTGTTTATTATTTTTTATTATATTTTTATTATTATAAGTTTATTATTAATTTATTAAGAATCAACGTTTTTTTCGAGGACGTCACAAATAATGGCAATTTTGTTCAACGATCAACGGCTCTCTGAGCAGCAACAGATTTTTCGAAGCATTAACGCTCGAGGATGAATGTTTCACAATGAAGTAAAATAAAAAATTCCAAAAAAGAATTTTATGAGGTAACATTTTTTTATTTCTTCAGTATAAAATATTACAGAAAAAATGATTGAATTCTCAATTTCCTTTTTTGTTTCTGAGGAAACTCACCATCGATCGTCAGCGCTACTGTGTCCACTGCTGCTGCTGGTCATGGTTCCCTCCAGGGGAAACCGTGGATCGTTGAACGACCTCGAACTTGAACCGGTCCCGTAACCAGAACTGTTGCTCGATCTCGGAGGACTGAATGACCTGTCGTACCTCTTCTGCTGGGCAATTGTCGTCTGCTGCGTGGGTGTGTTTTCAGTGGTCGTTACGTTCTCATATTCACCCTCATAATTCCCCGATAAATATTGACATTTCTGTAAAGTGCAGCCTCTGCGAAAGAGCGAAAGAAAACGAATCAGTAACAGTTAATTAAAAAGTTACAATAAAAGTTAAAAATTTCCTTTGAAATAGTTTTTCCTTCCATTATAATATTTATAAAGAAAATAAAGAAAAATATAAAGAAATCGAAAAAAATTTCTTTATAAATTAAAAATTACCTACTTCAATAATTTCATGAAGAAGCCGAAAAAGCCGAAAAAAGGAGCAAAAACCTTCATGGAATTATCAAAATTCGGTCGAAAAAACAGTTCCTTCGTCAGAGTTGCCACAAAAAAATTAATTTTGTTTTTCTTTAACTTTTCTCTGATTTCCAGACAAAATTTTCACTTTTTCCCTGACCCTAAAGAATATTCTGCGATTATTAAATAAATATTTAATCATTATTACAACTCCATAAGAATTAAGATTTACAAAAAATTTCAAATTCAAACCTTTTTGCAATTCAACAACTTTTCAAAAAAAAATTAAATTATTTACAAAATTTTTAATAAAATCTTTCGCAAGAATTAATTATTTTCATAAAAAATAAAATTTTTCACAGAATTTCAATTATTTTTATTACAATTTTAAATTGATTCCTCGAAAAATGTAATTATTTTCAAAAATTTCTTGCACAGAATTTCAATTATTTAAAAAAATTTCTTTAAAAATTCGTTGCAAGAATTCAATTATTTTCCTAAAAAATAAAGATAAAAATAATAAAGATCATTGAAATCTTGACGAGAATTTATAAACAATTTTTAAAAATAATTAAATTTCTTCAAGGAATTTTATTAATTTTCGAAAATAATTGAATTCTTTTGATGAATATTGGTCATTTATGAAAATAATTGAACTTTGCGTCAAATTTTATCAAAATTTTTTAAAAATAATTGAATTCTTTTGGGAAAATTTATTAAAATAGTAGATATTGAAAAGCATTTAAATAAGAAAATTTTTTCTAAATAATTGAAATTTTGACACAAATTTTATTTAATTTTTTGAAAATAATTGAATTCTTCTGATATATTTTGATTATTTATAAAAATAATTCAATTTCGTAAAGAATTTTATCAAAATTCGAGCAAATAATTGAATTTTGCACAGAATTTTATAAAAATTTCTGAAAATAATTGAATTTTGCAAAGAATTTTATTAAAATTCCTGAAAATAATTGAATTTCTAGGACGAATTTCTATATTTTTTAACAGGATTTCATTTACTTAAAAGAAATGTAATAAAATTCGTTGCAAAAATTGAATTATTTCCGTAAATAATAAAATTCGATTAAAATTGTATTAAAAATAATTGAAATTCTGCAATGAGTTCTATTATTTATGAAAATAATTGAATTTTTGCAAAAAATAGAAAAAGTTTCAAACAATTGATTTTATTCAAAAAAATTTATGCAAATTCTATTTTTAATAATTGAATTTCGTTGAAATTTTCATTATTTTAGAAAATAATTGAATATTTGTGTAGAATTTTGTAGAAATTGTTTTTAAATAATCGAATTCATTGGAAAAATAATTGAAATTTTGCCATGAATTTTATTACTTTCGAAAATAATTGAATTTTTGTGATGAATATTGTTATTTATGAAAATAATTGACTTCCTCTGAATGGTTTTAGTACTTAAGAAAAAAATTAAATTCCTGAAAGGAATTTTAAAATTTATAAAAATAATTTAATTACTTATTGGAAGATTTTAATGCTAAATTTTAAAACATCTGATTTTTTTCGAAAAAATATATGCAAACTATTTTAAATAATTGAATGTTTGTGTAAAATTTTATCAAATTTTTTGTTTAATTTTTTAATTTAATTTTAATTTTTTGTTTAATATTAAAATTTTTGAAAATAATTGAATTTTGGAGAAGAATTTATTTAATTTTAAAAATAATTGAAATTTTGACGAGAGTTTTTTTTTCAATTTTTAAACACAATTGAATTTCTGCGAAAAATTTTATTACTTTTGAAAATAATTGAATTTCTGCAATTACATATTTGTAACTTCTCCAAAATTCAATTTTTTCCAGTAAAAATTTCCAGAAAAATTTTATTACTTTTGAAAATAATTGAATTTCTGCAATTACATATTTGTAACTTCTCCAAAATTCAATTTTTTCCAGTAAAAATTTCCAGAAAAATTTTATTACTTTTGAAAATAATTGAATTTCTGCAATCATTTGTATCTTCTCCAAAATTCAATTTTTTTCCAGTACTCTAATAAAAATCCCTGACTTTTCCCTGAATTCCCTAATTTTTTCCCTGTCCTGTAGCAACTCTGTTCATGGAATTATCGAAGCACCTTGATTGAAAATTTTTCAAATTTGTATAATTAATCCAATAGAGTAGAATTATTTAGGAAGTGAAAAATCTCACCTTCGTGGACTACCGTCGCTGGATGGCGGAATGACTGTGACGGTAACTTGCAAACTCGTTTTCAGCAGATCGACCATTTGATCATGACTCAAAGTTGAAACGGCGACCTTGCAAATTTCCACGAGTCTCGAACCTTGTCTGAGACCCGCTTGCCAAGCGAAACCCATTCCCTCCACTTGTGTCACAACTCCATCCGGCTGAACATGAAATCCCAATTGTCCCAAATTATTTCTCTTCAACGACAACTCCGAGGCTGGCGATCCTTGAGTCACTGCTCGCAATCGGGCCACAATTTCCATCAATTCATCGCGTTCGCCACAATCACCACGCACATGTATCGTTATACATTCGCCCTGATGGTAGTAAAGTCTCAAACTGAAATCGAACATTTCATTTGCTCTGTTAATGAAAATTGGAAAATTTTAGTTAGTTTTGTTAGTTTAGTTAGGTTGCGCTTAGAGGAGAATGTTAAAAATAGTTGTTTCGATTGAAAAATCGAAATAGATTACCTATTGGTTTGGGCGTGCCATCCGAGAACTCCCACGCAGGGTGTAACAAAGACTATTTGTCGCGAGTGTTCTTCAACAAGTACGATGGAATCGATGCTCACGCCAAGATAGCAATCGGTACTTTGATTGCTGTCCTCGAGAATAACTTGCCAGCATATCGCACCACGTTGCGAGGCATCACACGGCAGACGAGGTCGTACAACTGCTTTCTTTTTACTGCTAAATGAAAGCATTGCTGAAAATAAATTTAAAATTAGAAAATCGTATTTTTTTTAAAGAAATCCTTTTTTTTAAAGAATTTCCCCATTTCTTGAAACTTTCGTTTAATAAACTACAACTTACAAAATTTCTGTCCAGTGTCAACCATTGATGACGATGAGTATTTCGTTGCTAAATTTCTCAAGTATTCCAATCTCGTTCTCGTTGCCATCGTCGCAAATTTTTCCACCCTATTGTCAAAGAAAAATAAGTGAATTAAATACAGATATAAATATGAAAATATAAAAAGAAAAAAGGAGAAAATAAAAAAATTAACAGGGTTACCACAAAAATTTAATCTTGTTTTTCTCTAACTGTTCCTTGATTTTCAGACAAAATTTAAAATTTTTCCCTGACCTATTACTAAAAATTTATACTATAATGTTTTCAATATTCAATAATAATTGATTATTAGTATCTAAAATTTGAACTGAAATTAAATTTTTTAATTCAATTTTTATTTGAAAATTCTACGGGAATATAATTTTTCCCTGACTTCCTTGACTTGTGGTAACCCTGAGTGAAGATTAAAAAAATTAATGCACAGAGATTAATCTGTGACAATATTTAAAGTAGAAGAAAATTACTTGTGCGCTGCATTTTCTCCGTTAATCGCTTTGGCAAGGATAAAATCGGCGAAAGCCTTCCCTTTGGGAAATGAAGCGCCAACAGGTACTGGTGGACCAAAAATAGGCACCTCCTTATTTCTCGAAATTGCGACAGTATATTGAGTATTCTCCGAACAGGGATTTGTAACACGTACTATAATAAAAACGTGCTGAAATTGCGAACGTATTCTCCTTGGACTGAAGGGCAATGCTCCTGGTTCCTAAAATAAAAAAACAAACACTGTACATTTTTTGCTAATAGTACTTTTAAATATTAAAAAAAATATTACTTCTTCTAAAATTGAAAGAAGCATTTTCTTGTTGAAATTGAAAATTTTCGCAAAAAAAAAAAAACTCACTTGGAAGACAATCGTGACTATATCGTTTCCGATGTGTCTTTTTCGTAACAGCTGCTGTCTATTGTTTGGCGTGAAGGGCAACATCGTGGAAACGTGAAAAGTAACTTCCGCTCCACGGTGATTTGCGACGACCGCGTGAGTTCCCGTCGAGTCAGTTCTCGTGTCCAGACCCGCTTTAAAACCCTCGTATCCACGCAGTCTTACTCTTTGGCCTGAAAGAAAGGAATTTCTTTTAATTTTTTTTTTCATTCTTTCTTTCTCTTCCAACAATGTAGAGAGATCAAAACGATAATAATATGGGAAAACAATAAACAAAGGAATCAAAGTGCAAAAAAATCGTGTAAAAATCGAAAAAAGAAAAACAATTAATAGAGTTAACAGGGCTCGAACCAGTGAAAGTATTTAAAAATAATATGGACTTTACGGACAAACAAACTTTTAAGTAATTAAATTCTATGGACGAATTTTAATAAAATTTTTAAGAATAATTTCATTATTTGAGGAATTAATTTAAAATTGTATTATAAACAATTTAATACCTGAGAATAATTTTGTTATTTATGAAAAATAATTGAATTCTTGAGAACAATTTTATTAAAATTTTTGAAAATAATTGAATTTCTGTGAAAATTTCAAAAATTTATAAAAATAATTGAATGTGTTTGAAGGATTTTATCAAAATTTATTTAAATAATTGAATTCTTTTAGAAAATTTTATTAAAATAGTAGATATATAAAAAATCATTGAATTTTATTAAAATTTTTGAAAATAATTCAATTTCTGCAATAATTTGTAACTTCTCCAAACATAACAATTTTTTTTAGTGTTTTTAACTCAAATTTTTCGATAAATGAATTATTTTTTAAAATTTTTGAAAAAATTCTTTGAGAATTTTTAAATTTATTTGTTTATAATTTAATTTTACAAAATTTTAATTATTCGGAAACTCTTCAATTAAATTTACATTAAAAAATTAAAAACTTCAAATCATTTTCAAAAAAAGTCCGCAATTAAACTTTTTCAAAAAAATTAATTCCACAGAATTGTTTATTCAAAAATATGAAAAATTAAGATTTTCAAAGATTTTAATTTGAAACCTTTTCAAAATTCAATTATTTTTAAGAATTCGTGCTGTAAATCATTTAATAATCAATTTAATCTAAAATTTTTACAGAAACTGAGGAAAATTTTTGAAAATAATTGAAATTTTGACAAGAATTTTATTAAAACTTTTGAAAATAATTGAATTTCGAAGATTTTTGCTATTTATAAAGATAGTTGAAATCTTGACGAGAATTTATTAATAATTTTTGATAATAATTGAATTTTTGCGAACAATTTTATTAATTTTTAAAAATAATTGAATTTCCGCGAAGAATTTTATTACTTTTTGAAAATAATTGAATTCTTGTGATGAATGTTGCTCATTTATGAAAATAATTGAATTTTGCGTAGAATTTTATTAAAATTTTGTTTTTGAAATAATTGACTTTTCTTAGGAAATTTTATTAAAATAGTAGATACCGAAAATCATTGAAATAAGAAATTTTTTTTTAAAATAATTGAAAATTTGACTAAATTAAAAAAAAAAATTTGAAAATACTTGAATTTCTGCGAAAATTTCTATTATACTTTTGAAAATAATTGAATGATTGCAAAGAAATTTATAAAAAATTTGTAAATAATTGAATTCCTGAGAAATTTTTATTATTTTGACAATAATTTTATTAAAATTTTTTAAAATAATTGAATTTTAGAGATTTTTTCTATTTATAATGATAAAGTGAAATTTTGCTAAGAATTTTATTAAAATTTTTGAAAATAATTGAATTTTGGAAAAGAATTTAATTATTTCTAAAGATAATTGAAATTTCACTAAGAATTTAATTAAAATCTTTGAAAATAATTGTATTTCGGAGAAGAATTTAATTAATTCTAAAGATAATTGAAATTTTGCCAAGAATTTAAAAAAAAATTTCAACATAATTGAATTTCTGTAATTATTTTTAATTTTTCTAAAATTCTCAAAAATAAAACATAGAATTTACAAATTTCGTCCTTTTTAATCAAATTGCGAACTTTACGGACCTTTTTTCGAAAAAAGATTAACTTTTACAGACTTGAAGCAAATTTACGGACCTAGTTTGATTCCTCAGTTAAAAATTGTATTATGAATGACAACAAATAAATAATATTACCAATTGTGTCTAAAAATTCGAGAAATGCAGGACCGGCGTGTTGATTATTGTACATTTCCTCTTCAGTTCTTTGTCCTGCACGACAGTAGAGAACGCCGATTTTGTACCTGCTGGTGAGGCCGTGTTCATCGACATTGGCGACTTCCGGCTCAGAGCTCGGTGTTCCCAATCGTAGGCAATTCATTTGCACCTCCGGGGCAACCAACTCTAAAAGTTCCCTCGTTGGTATTTTCCCCTGTTGTCTTATTCCTAAAGCCTCTTCGGGAATTGTTCCTCTAAGTGTCAACAACTCCGTGGTACGGACAATTATTCGATACTGAGTTCCGTCCTTTCGAATACTAATCGCGACTGGACCAAGTTGCTCGTCCATTCCGAACCAGTTTTGATGTTCTTGACCTACAAAAAAATTTGAATAATTAATTTTTTTAATGAAACTAAAATACTTTCTTCGAAGTGCGTCACATTTTTTTGTAACATTTTTTTTTGGTAATATAAATTCTGGTTCAGCATCAGCCGACAGCTGGATACTCGTGTGTCGCATTCGAAATTTCACAATGCAGATTATTATAAAAATAAAGAAAAGAATTGCGAATAATAAAAAATTGGGAATTGTATGAATTGTGTATGAATTGCATGAATTGTATACACTAACCGAGAAAATATCGACGATAATAGTAAGCACCATCGTCGACGCTTTCAATTGGCATAAGCCTTTTTTGGAGAGGACAGGTGTGTTTCCAGAGAGTTTCTCCAGGTGGTGGCTCCAAGACAGAAACACCATAGGCCATGGGTGGCCTGTGAATGCCATTTGTATTTGGACATCGAGTTAATCCAACTTCTCTTTCACCCTCTCCGCCAGTTTCGTTTCGAAAGAATGGACACGATTCGAGCAAATCATTACCTGAAATAATTGACAATTAATTAGTCCTCGTCTATTTTATGCGCAGATGTTTCACCACGAATTCATTAAATCGAATCAAAGAAACAATTCAAATCAGAGAGTCCTCTAACAGAATTGCCACAGGTCAGGGAAAAGTCAGGGAAATTAGAATTTGTCAGAGGAATCAGGAAAAAGTCAGGGATTTTTATGAAGAGTATTAAAAAGAATTAAATTTTTTAAAATCATAAGAAAATTCTGAATTTCTGTCTTTTTTGTTTGATTCAACTTAAAATTTCAGAAAATTTCAATTTTGAATGAATTTGATTAGAAATTTCAGAAAATTTCAAATTAGAAAGAATTTGATTAGAAATTTTAAAGAACTTAGCTTTTTGAAAATTTTTAATAATTCAACCTCTTCTGAAATTAGTTCAATTTATTAATATATTTAATTTATTATTATGAAAATAATGGATTCATAGAAGAGTCTTCGTTAAAAACACTAAAAAAAAATTGAATTTTGGAAAAGATACGAATTTTATTGCAGAAATTTAATTATTTTCAAAAGCAATAAAATTCTTCGTAAAAATTCAATTATGTTTAAATTTTTTTTTGAAAATTCGCGTCAAAATTTCAATTATCTTTATAAATAATTAAATTCTTTTTGAAAATTCGCGTCAAAATTTCAATTATCTTTATAAATAATTAAATTCTTTTCCAAAATTCAATTATTTTCAAAAATTTTAATAAAATTCTTGGCAAAATTCAAATATTTTAAGGAATTTTAATGAAATTTTTGGCAAAATTCAATTATTTTCAGGAATTTTAATAAAATTCTTTGCAAAATTCAATTATTTTCATAAATAACCAAAATTGAATTCTTGCAATGACAAGAATTCAATTATTTTCAAAAGTAATTGAATTTTTCCCAGTAATTCAAGTATTTTCAAAAACCTTTTTAAGATTTTTGTCAAAATTTCAATTATTTTTAAAAAATTTCATCAATTCAATATCATTTTCAATGTCTACTATTTTCATCAAAATTTTCTTTCTTCTTCTTCGAAAGAATTTAATTATCTTGATAAAAATAAAATTCGACCCAGAAATTCAATTATTTTCAGGAATTTTAATCAAATTCTTTCCAAATTCAATTATTTTCATAAATATCAAAAATCATTAGAAAAACTCAATTATTTGCAGGAATTTAATAAAATTCTTTGTAAAATTCAATTATTTTCAAAACTAATAGAATTTTTCACAGAAGTTCAATTATTTTTAAAAATCTTTTCATATGTTTGGCAAAATCTCAATTATTTTCAAAAATTTTTGTCAATTCAATGTTTATTATAAATATCAAAAATCTTTACAGAAATTCAATTATTTTCAGGAATTTAATAAAATTCTTTGCTAAAATTCAATTATTTTCATAAATATTATAATTCTTTTCAGGGATTCAATTATTTTCACAAATATCAAAAATCTTTACAGAAATTCAATTATTTTCAGGAATTTTAATAAAATTCTTTGCAATAATTCAATTATTTTCATAAATAACCAATATTCACATTACAAGAATACAATTATTTTCAAAATGAATAAAATTCTTCCCACAAATTCAATTATTTTCAAAAATTGTTTATAAATCCTCGTCAAGATTTCAATTATCTTTATAAATATTTAAAAAAAATTTTCATCAAATTCTACTCAAACATTTAATTATTTTCGTAAATAATAAAAATTTCATAGGAATTCAATTATTTAAAAAATAAATAATAAAACTCATCGCAGAATTTCAATTATTTTTCGAATAGTGCAATTATTCTTAAAAATTTTATTAAAATTCATCGAAAAAATTCAAATATTAAAAAATTTTGTTAATAAAATTCTTTATAAGATTTCAGTTCCCAGAAAAATTCAATGATGTAATAAATTATTTATTTTTGTATTTAAATAATTGAAATTCTTGAAGAATTTTCGTAATAATTGAATAAAAAACGAATTTCTATTAAAGTTTAGGAAAATAATTGAATATTAAAAGCTTTATAACAAGAATTTTTAGAAATAATTCAATTCTAAAAAGTTTTTAAATTCAAAATGAATTCTTTTCAAAAATAAACATTTTCACAAGAATTCAATTAGGTATTTAAAAACAAATTTAATATAATTCTTCGTCAGATATTAATTATTTTCAATTTTTTAATGAAATTTCTCGATAGAATTTAATTATTTTCAAAGAATTTTAAAAAATTCTGAGAAATTCAATTATTTAAAGGAATTTGAATAAAATTCTTCACAAGAAATCTGGAATTCAATTATTATCGCAAATATAATTATTCACAGGAATTCAATTCTTTAAAAAATTTTTTAATAAAATTCGTTGCAAGAATTCAATTATTTTCATAGAAAACAAAACTTATCGCGGAATTTCAATTATTTTTTGTACAATTTTAAATAAAATGATAGAAAATTGCATTTATTCGTAGAAAATTTTTTTTTAATTTACAGAAAGAATTTAATTATTTTTAAAAATTTGTTGATAAAATTTTTTATGGATATTGAATTTTAAGAAACATTCAGTTATTCAATGAATTATTTATTTTATTTTTATAATTTTTTGAATGTAAAAAATGTTTGAATTTTGAATGTTTCGAAAAATTTTAATTATTGTTATTGATGTTTTCGAATAATTTTACAATGAAAGAAATTCTCAAATAAATGTATTAGAACATTTTTCTCAGTATCTAATCATATTTATTGATTAATTAATTAATTGCTAAAGAATATTCTTTAGGATCAGGGAAAAAATCAAAATTTCGTCTGGAAATCAGGGAAAAGTGAGGGAAAAAGAAAGTAAAATTTTTTTTGCCAATCCTGAAGAGAAAGAATGGAAAATACCTTTTCCATCTCCCGTGTCCTCCTCGGGTGCCTCGTCAGGAGTCGACGATCGTAAGGAACTCGCGGCCGATGCTCCGGTGGCAGTGTTCCTTCTTCTGGCTAGTAAGATACCTCGTAATTTGGCAGCGTAACCTAAATTGGCAGTGAATGATTGACAGTCGTAATGAGCGAATGCCCGTCTTCTGTGTCTCTCCTCGACGTCGGCCGAAATCACGGGACTGGTGCAAGTTTCTTCAGAGCCTCGTGGCGGTTTTCCGCCCCACAATCGATTCAGCTTCAGTCGCAGTTTCGGACTGTTTCCGGTTGGTCCACAAACTTCATCAGCGTCCGGTGACTGGACATCCTGTACTCGGCGCATAAAATCCGATGATGGACTACGCTGCTCGGGCGGACGAAAATCTTGCAGCATACTGAAGAGATTGTCGCCTACGGATACTGATTGCGCCACCACGTCGATACTGCCTGTAAATTGTTTATGGCACAATGAATACAAATACAATAAATACAAATACACTAAATAAATATCCAACAATTTTTATTAAAATAAAAAAATTATTTTTATAGTACTTTTGAAAAATTCTACCGTCCCTAATTAAATTCTCTTCTCATTGTAGTAAAAGCTATGGTCTCTTATTTAAAATCTTATTAAAATCTCCTATTTAACCGAGTGACAGAAATCAATTCTTTTTCGCAACAGTTTCTTTGAAGGAAACTTAAATTTTCTTTCCTTCGAAAAAAAATATGGAAATTATACTAAATTGAATCAAAATGGTACCAAACTGGAGCAAATTAAATACCAATTTTATCAAATCCATATCAAATTTAATCAAATTGATACACTTCATAATTAATTTTAAAAAAGTATCAAAAAGTAGCTTAAAAACAGAAAAAAAGTAGTAAAAAATTAGCTATCGAAAAATTAAACTTGATGACTCAATTTTTTTTTTATAATTTCTTAATTACATTCAAAAATAGAATAATTTTTTATAATAAATATTTAAATACCTTTTTATTTTGTCTACAGTAATTAAAATATTTCAAATGATTTCAATCTAACGCATTTTTGAAATTTAACTATTTCTAAAAATTACAAAAGTTCTTTCAAAATTCGATCCTACTTTTTTTAAAATAATAAAATTATTCAAAACTTTAATCATTTTATTTTAATCAATTCTAAATCAACTCTTCTTAGAAAGTTCTACGAGAATTCAATTATTTAGATGCAAAAACAAATAATTTATTGAATAATTGAATATTTCTTAAATTTGAATTCTTATAAAGAACTTTATCAACATTTTTTAAAATAATTGAATTTTTACGAAGAATTGTATTAAAAATTTTAATAATTAAATTCATTCAAGAAATATAATTAAAAATTAATTGAAAATAATTATTAGACTCTAAAAAACAAATTTTGTAAAATTTTTTTAAATAATTGAATTTTTTCGAAGAATTTTATTCAAAATTTTCAGAATAATTGCGTTTTTAGCGAATTCATTAAAAATTATATTATTAAAAATAATTGAAATCCTACGATGAATTTTATTATTTATAAAAATAATTGAATTTTGGAGAAGAATTTTATTATTTATAAAAATAATTGAATTCTTGCAACGATTATTATTAAAATTTTAAAAAATAATTGAATTTTGGAGAAGAATTTTATTATTTATAAAAAATAATTGAATTCTTGCGAAGAATTTTATAAAAATCTATGTCAATAATTGATTTTTTTCGAAAAATTAAAAAAAAAATCCAAATTGGATCAAATTTCTAACAAATTGTATCAAAATTCATATCAAATTCTCCATTATTTTTATCGTAGCGAAAAAATCAATTTTTGAACAATCACCCAGTTTCTTTTAAGGTTTTAAATGACAATTTTCATAAAATGAATTAATTCCAATAGGTTACAAATTAAAATTTTAGAAAATTTTAATTTTTAATGAATTTAATTAGAAATTTTTAAGAACAGTTTTTTGAAAAACTTTATAACACATTTTGTAAAAGAATTCAATTATCTTGAAAAATATAGAAATTTTTCTCAGAAATTCAATTATTTTCAAGAAATTTAATAAAATTCTTTACAAAATTCAAATATTTTCATATAATAAATAATCAAAATTTATTACAAGAATTCAATTATTTTCAAAAGTAAAAGAATTCTTCACATTCATTCAATTATTTTCATAAAAATATTAAAATTCTTTTCAGGGATTCAATTATTTTCATAAATATCAAAAAATCTTTACAGAAATTCTATTATTTTTAGGAATTTTAATAAAATTATTTGCAATAATTTAATTATTTTCATAAATAACCAATATTCATTACAATAATTCAATTATTTTCTAAATTAATATAAAATTTTTCGCAGAAATTCATTAATTTTCAAAAATTGTTAATAACATCTCGACAAGATTTCAATTATCATTATAAACGCAGAAAAAATCTTTAAAATTCAATTATTTTCAAAAATTTTAATAAAATTATTGTCAAAATTTTAATTATTTTCAAAAATTGTTCGAATTAAATTATTTTCAATATTTACATATTTTAATCCAATTTTTCGAAAGAATTCAATTATATCTTAATAAATATCAAAATTCTTCATAGAAATTCAATTATTTTCAGGAGTTTTATTAAAATTCTTTGTAAAAATTCAATATTATTTTCACATTTTCAGGAATTTTTATAAAATTCTTTGCAAAATTAAATTATTTTCATGAATAACCAAAATATATTACAAGAATTCAATTATTTTCAAAAGTAATGGAATTCTTCGCAGAAATTCAATTATTTTTAAAATTCTTTTTAATATTTCTTAGCAAAATTTCAATTATTTAAAAAAAATTTTCTCAATTCAATGACTTTGAGTATCGACTATTTTCATAAAATTTGCCAAAAGAATTCAATTTATTTAAAAAATATTTTTTAAAAATTTGGACCAAATTGTCCCTTTTTTCTATTTTAGCTAAACGAATAAAAAAAATTGGATCAAAAGGACACCAAATTGGTTCAAAATAATACCAAATTGAATCAAATTGATGCCAAAATATTCCTTGTTTCTAACTTAGTTAAAGAAATCAAAGAAATTGGATCAAAAGTATACCAAACTGCAAATTGGATCAAAATAGTACCAAATTGGGTGAAGAATTTTAGATTTTTGGTACCAGTGGTAAGGGTAGTTTTTTTGATCAAAGAATGAAGTTTAAAAAACGAGTAAAGTATTTTTGAAGAGCCCAAAAATAATGAAGTAATTTGCCCCAAAAATAAAGGAAAAATGTTTCATTTTAAGAATTTTCAATTTTTTTGTACAAGTGGTAGGGGGTTTTTTTTTTGTTTTTGTACAAGAGCCTAATTTTGAACTCCGGGGCTAAAATAGTATTTTTTGACACCATTATTTTTACCATGTGAGCCATATTCCCGTCTCAGGGGTGTTTCCGGTATTCTTGAAGCAGGATCCGGGCTGTGTGGCAATTCCAAACTGGAATTCGATCTATGGAGGGCCAGTCCTCGTCCCACTCGACTCATTGGCCCCCCACTGCCACCCCCGCCGTTCATCGGAAGACTCGCAATCATCTCGTCATTCTGTAAACAAAAAAATATCGAATTCAAAATTTTTTCCATTTTCTCCTTCCAAAAAAAAGTAACTTTTAATTAAAAATAATTTTAAAGTATCAAAAATTCCAGAAAATGCAAGGGGGGGGGGGTAAAAAACCTTAAAATTATGCTTACGCAATACTTGAATGGCCCCTTTGTAAATAAAGTTAATAAACAAATAAATAACATTTTATTTATCAGAATTACAGATTTTATAGAATTAAATTATGCTTATTTAAAAAAAAAACAATAAGTTTTTATTTGGTTTTTTTTGTATTTGGTTGTATTTTTCATTATTTTCTTTTATTTTTTCACTATTCAGAAAATAAAATTAATATTTATTTTCTAATCATCCTTAAGGACATGATATTCAATGGTCACGTGTTTCAATGTATGTGAAAATTAATTAATAATTATTTTCTTTTATTTTCTCAATATTGAGAAAATAAAAGAAAAGAATCAAAAATACAACCAAATACAAATACAAAAAGAAAACCAAATAAAAATTTATTGTTTTTAAAATGAGGCTAATTTAATTCCACTGGGAATCGAACCCTTGACCGATAGATGATAATTTCATTATAACTAAGCTTGAAAACTAAACTAAATGACCTTTAGGTCATGTTATTCAGTGGTCACGTGTCTCATAAAGATTCGAAACACGTGACCATTGATTAACATGCCCTTAAGGATGATTAGAAAATTTTTTCTCCCCCGTTATTGTGAACGAAAAAAAAGAGGGAAAAATAGATTTGAAATTTCTAAAATTGCCGCATGTGTGATGTATATATAAAAATAAATATTCCAAACAAGGCGACAAGTGCTTGTGCAGTCGAGGGTGTGAATACGCTGGAGACTTAACTAAGCTTAAACAAGCAAAAGAAGTATGTGGTTAATTAAAGTCATCCCTCTCTTTTTTTTTTTATTCTGAACTTGAATACTCTACATATTGTATGAGAGAGGGAAAAGGGTCAGGTGTCCCTGAGGAATACGTGCGTGCAGCTCATTTTCCACGAGTGCTTCTGTTTATCTATGACTTTTTTAATTATTCTCTTTTAATGAACGTTGCCATAATTTTTTTTTCCCAACGCCCATATATGTATACCTATATAATATATCAAATTTCACGAACTATTTTAATTCAATTTTCCCTCTTTTGATATTAAAAAAATCGATTATAAAAGACAATGAAACAATTAATAATTCACCGTCAAATTAAAAGTTTCACTTTGCAACGAATTGATACCAAAAAATGTGGATCAAATAAAAATATTAAATAAAATTAAATTAAAAATTCCTCACAAGAATTTAATTATTAAAAAGAAAAAATTTTTTTTGCAGAAATTCAATTATTATCAAAAAATGTTTTTAAATTCTCGTCAACCTTTCAATTATCATTATACATAACAGAAATCATCGAAATTCAATTATTTTCAAAAGCAATAGAATTCTTCGCAAAATATTCAATTATTTTTTTGAAAAAAAAATCAATTATTTAAATAGATTTTTATAAATATCTTCGCAAGAATTCAGTTATTTTTAAAAATAACAAAAACTCTTCTCAGGAATTCAATTATTTTTTTATATAAATAATTAAATTCTTCGCAAGAATTCAATTATTTTTATAAATAATAAAATTCTTCACAGAAATTCAATTATTTTCAAAAATTGCTTTTAAATTCTCACCAACCTTTCAATTATCTTTATACACAACAGAAATCATCGAAATTCAATTATTTTCAAAAGTAATAGAATTCTTAGCAGAAATTCAATTATTTTTTTGAAAAAAAAATCAATTATTTAAATAGATTTTTATAAATATCTTCGCAAGAATTCAGTTATTTTTAAAAATAAACAAAAACTCTTCTCAGAAATTCAATTATTTTTTTATAAAATAATTAAATTCTTCGCAAGAATTCAATTATTTTTATAAATAATAAAATTCTTCACAGAAATTCAATTATTTTTTAAAATTTTAATAATAATCGTTTTAAGAATTCAATTATTTTTATAAATAATATTAAAACTCATCACAGGAATTCAATTATTTTTAATACAATTTTAAATGAATTCCGAGAAAAATTCAATTATTTAAAATGATTTTGGTATAATTTGTTTATTAGAATTTAATCATAATTTTCAATTACCTTATTAATTCAATTCCTTGAAAGAATTTAATTTTTTTCAAAATTTTCGTTAAAAAATAAAATATTCAATTATCTTCAGGGATAATAAAATTATTTTGCAGGAATTCAATTATTTTAAAAAATTTTTTAAAAAATTCTTCGCAAAAATTCAATTATGCTAAAAAATTTAAAAAAAAATTCTCGTCGAATTTTCAATTATCTTTATAAATAATAAAATTCTTCTCCAAAATTTAATTATTTTCAAAAATGTTAATAAATTTTTCTTCGTAAAAAATCAATTATTCAAATAGATTTTTATAAAATTCTTTGCAAGAATTCAATTATTTTTATAAATATTAAAACTCATCGCAGGATTTCAATTATTTTTAATTTTTAATGAAAATTTTGAAATTAATTGAATTTCATGAAGATATCAATTTATTTTCAATAGTAATGATTATAATAAAATTCTTATCAAAAATTATATAATAATTAAATTGTTCGAAAATAATTGAAATTTACAAAGAATTTTATTAAAATACTTTTGAGAACAATTGAATTGTTTAGAAAAATTTTATTACAATTTTTAAAAATAATTGAACCTGTTAGAGAAATTTAATTAAAATTATCTTGAATATAATTGAATTTCTTCCTAGAAATTTAATTAAAATTGTATTAAAAATAATTGAATTTTGCAGAAGAATTTTATTATTTACAAAAATAATTGAATTCTTGGGCAAAAAATTTCTTATTTATGGAAATAATTGAATTCTTGCGAGGGATTTTTACATATTTTTCGAAAAAAATCAATTATTTAAATAGTTTTATAAAATTCAATTTATTATTTAAAAAAATTGAATATATTTTGTTTCTTGGAGTGTAATAATTATTTTCAATTAATTTTTAATTACATTTCTTGAATGAATTTAATTATTATAAAAAATTTTAATACACTTCTTTGTAAAAAATTAATTTATTTTAAAAAAATGTTGATAAAGTTTTTTATAAGAATTCAAATTTAAGAAATATTCTCAATTATTCAATAAATTTATTTTTGTATTTAAATAATTGAAATCTCGTAGAAGTTTCTAATACAATTCTTATTAGAAACTTCTACGAGAATTAGAATTGAATAAAATAAAACGATTTTAAAGTTTTGAATAATTTTATTATTTCAAGAAAAATAGGATTGAATTTTGAAAGAACTTTTGTAATTTTCAGAAATAGTTTTTAAAAAAAAACTCATTTTATTATGAGTAAATTGAACAAAAAAAATTGTTGTGTATAATAAATTTCTATTTTAAATAAAAAGATCCTTTTTTTACTATACTTTTTGCTACTTTTTAAAAATAAATTATCGAATACAAAAACCCTGTTTTCGATAAAGTAAAGTAGAGAAAATTTTCTTTTTTTTTTTTTGAAGGGAAAGTAATTGTTAAAATGCTTGGAGATTGTGGAATGCGAAAAATATAACATTGAAATGTAAGGGTTGTATTTGGACGCCTGGGGGAATGATTCCCGTCATACATAAATGCATAGATGTGGCAGATGCCACTGTGTAAAATAAAGTGATACCATGGAATGTCGAGAATGCATATAGTGAGAGAGGAGGGCCTATCCGAATGTCTGACCATCGCGTTCGTGCCAAATACCTGCGGGGCCCAATCTTCCATCGAGATTATTGTTACAGACGCTCTGCTTTCGTGATGCTACCATTTTTTCCATAAATGAAAACCGGTATGCTATATATACGTGCCCTACACTTCTGTTTTGTCAGAATTTTAAAATTCAGCCCGAAAACGTTTTTTTTATTTTTTATAGTTTGTTTTCGTTTCTTTACTTTTATTTCTTAATTTATTTTTTGTTGCTACTATTTTTCATTTTTTTTTAATTCTTTACTGTTACTATTTTTCATTTCTTTTATTTTTTATTTCTACTATTTTTTTTTACTTTACTCCTTTTATTTCTTAATTTATTTTTTATTGTTACTATTTTCCATTTCTTTTACTTTTTATTGTTACTATTTTTAATTTTTTTTAATTTTAATTTTTAAATTTTTTTCATTTTACTCCTTTTATTTCTTAATTTATTTTTTATTGTTACTATTTTTCATTTTTTCTTATTCTTTATTTTTACTATTTTTTTTATATTTTACTCCTTTTATTTCTTAATTTATTTTTTATTGTTATTATTTTTCATTTCTTTTATTTTTTATTTTTACTATTTTTTTTACTTTACTCCTTTTATTTCTTAATTTATTTTTTATTTTTACAATTTTTTTTTTTGACTCCTTTTATTTTTATTCATGAAAAATTGAAATTACTTGTCAAAAAATATCGATGATATATCAAGGAGATACGAAAATTTCTTCTCGAACTATAATTAGAAAAATTGATAACAAAAAAAAATAAAGTACCTGCGAAGATCTCTTAATCCTTATATACACCACTCAGACCTTTCTTCCTCTAATTTCCCTTTTATTCAGTTTACAGGTACCTAACTGGATTTAAAACAGGTTTCCAAGGCTTAATACAAATTACAAAGTTTCCGTAATGTGGGAAAATGAAAATTTATCGCTCGTCAGATTTAACAGACAAGTCAGGCTATTACCATCTTCAGAAGGGAAAAATAGAAAAAAGAAATTATAATTTTTCAGTCAGGTAGAATTTTCGAAAATAAAGATTGCATCATTATCCTTTCTGGACCAAACCAAATATTGTTTTTTTTTTCCTACCTCTCGACCCTCTTCTTTTTCGAACGAAAATATTTTCCTAATTTATTCCGTAAATTACATTAAATATAGTGAGAGAAAAAAATCATAAGCGAATAGTAATTTTCTAGGAAAACATTTTTTTTGCAATT